ATAATCCAGTTTTTTTAATTTGACAATATTATCACAGATAAAGGTCTGAATCTATAGTCATAAAATAATCTTTGCATTTGATATAGTATCAAACATCAAAATATCTCAAAGCACATAATTTGACATGGGTAAATAAGAACAAACTTGCTTTAAACTGCCTTATGATGCAATGTCAAAGTGTTTCATAGATAATTCCGAGTAAATAAAATGAGCAATTGGAGGCAAACACAGCAGACACTTGCATTAACATGGTCTCAGAGACCTCTATGAAGTGAATGACCAACTAACCTGGTGAACAGTTAGGCAGGACAGAAGAAACAACTGCTCATCAGGTTCCATAGTTAACACGAGTGTATTTAAATTATGTATCTATATTCAGCTAATTATTCTATTGAGAATAGAAGACAATCTGTACCCTGCATAGCCCAATCAATGTAATTCTCTATCCCGTTTAGTGAATGTTTAAGACTGTAGTGAGTAAAAGTTCACAACTCTTCAAGTTAATGTCTCCCAAATAAAACGTAACTTGCACTTCTCATATTGTATTCTGTGCTAGAAATCAAGCAGGAATTTTCACACCTATAGGTCATGAACAATAAGCGTTCTGGGACCTAACCTGTGTGAAGGGCATTATATCTATGTAAGTTTTTGCTGTAGCAATATTGGTTCTAATTTTATGACGAATGCCACAGTAATACTGCCATTTGGTAACATCATGGTCCTTTTCACCACTTCCTCCAGTAACAATGCATGATCTAGTACATAATCTTTTGGATTACGCCATGGTCAGATGTGCAATACTGCAATAATGCCAGTGTTAAGTACCTGTAGATAACCAGTGGTGTACTAGAATAGCCACTACTGTACATCAAAACCATCAATGTGTATTAGTTGCAGTATTGCCTTTTAAACTTCACGCTTTACAGTTCTAACAACTTTTTTTCTATTTCTAACAAGTAAAAAGCCGGCAATTCTTACAAAAGTGCTTCTCTATCATTAGAAATGCCAAAGCTAATCACTCTGACACAAACTTGAGTTTGTAAGTGTGGAGCTCTGCCTTTCCCAACTCAACTGTAATATGAGCAGTGAGCATAACAATTTGTCTGACATTTATTTGATCACAACATTACAAAGTTCCAATATAAACTCTGAATAAGGCCACTGCAAATTGGAACTGGTATTTTCCCCATTTCTCCTTTTAGTTTTTGTTTCATCATCACTTCCCCAAATACTTTCTAGGCTTGAAAGTTTAGCTTTCATTCCCCTCTCTATGAAGTAAATATCTACTGTAGTTGACCTGAGTCAACCTAAGACTGTCATCTGCTGCCCAACTTAGATCATCAACTGCATCTTTACGAGATCTCTGTGTGATGCATAGTGCAAGTGCATCACTGAAGAAGCACTGTACATTACTGATGAGAATGGGAGTTATTTAAAGATCTCCTAATTAGGATTATCAGAAACTAAGAGGAAAAAATGTTCAGACTCCGATTTGAATAATTTCTGTTCACAGCTCCAGAGATTCAGAATCTAGGAGCAACAACTTGCACTTATATAGCGCCCTCTACACAGGGTAGCGAATTCAAAGATCCTCACCCTCACCTACAAGGCCATTCACGGCCTTGCTCCCTCCTACCTCTCCGACCTACTATCCCCCTACCTACCCGCCCGTACCCTCCATTCCTCTGGCTCCGGTCTCCTCCACATCCCCCGCCCCAACCGCCCTACTATCAGTGGCCGGGCCTTCAGCCTCTCAGCCCCGAGGCTCTGGAACTCTATCCCCCAGTGCCTTCGCCGCCTCCTCCCTTTCCTCCTTCAAGGCCGGTCTCAAGACCTTTCTCTTTGACCGTGCCTTCAGCTCCCCTCTCGACTCTCTACCCCCTCCTCGCTCCCTCCCTTCCCTCCCCTCACCCTGACCATTTCCCCCTTGTTCGGGTCCTGACCCAACTGTACAGCGCCTTGGGACGTCCTCCCGACGTGAAAGGCGCTCAATAAATGGAATCTTGTTGTTGTTGTTGTTGTAGCGTCTAAGAGCACTTAACAGTGGCGGAGTCTGACTCTGAGGCGGGTGGGGGTGGAGGTGACCGTAAGTATGGTCGAAAAGGAAAGTCTTCAGGTGGGATTTGAAAAAGGGGAAAGGGCGGGCAAGGCGGAGGGATTGAGGGAGTGTGTTGCAGAGCTTTGGGGTGTTGTGGCTGAAAGCATGACCTCCAATGGTAGAGCAGAGGGTGCGCGGGACCAGCAGGAGGCTGGTGCTAGTCGAGTGTAGGATTGGGGAGTGAGGAGGTCAGAGAAGTAGGGAGGTGCCAAGTAGTGAATGGATTTGAACGCGAGTGTGAGGATCGTGAAGTCGATCTGTTCAGTGATGTGGAGCCAGTGGAGCCTGGCCAGAACTGGTGAGATGGGGATACAGAGATTGGTTTGAATGAGCTGTTTTTTTAAAAAAAATAGTGGAACTGGGGAGACCAGCAAGGAGTGCGTTCGAGTAATCCAGGCAGATGACAAACTCATGCATGAGGGTTTCGACTGCATTTGGGGTAAGATACGGTCGGAGATGGGCAATGTGGTGGAGGTGGAGGAAGGCGGTCCTGGTCAGGGACTGGATGTGGGGAAGGAAGGATAGCTGGGGGTCGAACTGGACGCCTAGATTTCACACCGGTTTGAAGAGTCTGAGGGAGAGCCCAGGGAGATTGAGGTGTTCAAATCTGCAGGAGTGAAGACGTTGATGGGAGCCGAAGAGTATAGCTTCCGTCTTGTCCACATTCAGCTGGAGGAAGTTTGCACTCATCCAGGCCCTGACATCTGCCAGTCAAGCTGATAGAACATCGGCAGACCTGGAGTCGATGCTGGAGGAGGCAAAGTAGATCTGTGTGTCATCTGCATACATGTGGAAGTTTACCCAGTGTCAGGGGATGACGTCGCCAAGAGGGAGCATATTGATGAGGAAACGAAGAGGACGAAGGATGGAGCCCTGGGATACCCCGCAGGTGACCGGGCGAGGGCTGGAGGAGAAACCATTTGCCGAGATGAAGTGAAGGCTGTTGGTTAAGTAGGACTCGAACCATGCGAGTGCGGTCCCACTAAGGTGGTGAGGGAGGAGAGGCAGTGGAGGAGTACGGTGCAGTAAACTGTTTCGAATGCAGCAGAGAGGTCCAGGAGGATGAGGCGGTAGAGGGAACCCTGGTCACAGATAGAGAGGACGTTGCTTGTGACTTTGACAAACCATGTCTCTGCGCTGTGGGCAGACTGCAGGGGCTCGGGGAGGGAGAGGTGTGATTTAAGATGGCCCTCAACAATGCTTTCCAGGACTTTAGCAAGGAAGGGTAGGTTGGAAATGGGACGGTAATATGAGAGATTAGAGGGATCGAGGGTGGGTTTTTTGAGGGGTGTGATAACAGCGTTTTTCAGAGGAAGTGGAACAGAGTCTGAGGAGAGAGACTGGTTGACTGTCAGGCAGCAGAGTGGAGAGGCGGGAGAGTTGAGTGACCAGCAGCTGGGTGAGGAAGTGGTCGAGGCAGAATGCGGGTGATTGTGTTGGGAGGAAGAAATCAGGGCAAAGGAGTGTAAGGAGAGGGAAGTGGTAAGAGCCGTGGCAGAGGGAGAAGGCGGTGTGGATGGTCTGGGTGAGGTGGAAGGGGACAATGCAGCCAAGTGGATGTTTTCAATCTTTGAGATGAAGAAGTTCAGGACCTCTTCACACTTGGTGTTTGATGCAAGGATAGAGGGAGCTAGAGGGGCTGCATGGAGGAGGTGATGGACTGTGCAAAACAAGTGTCTTTAGGTTGTTTTTGGCCTCCAGGATGACTACACTATCAATAACAATATCTACACCACTAAACTAACTCAATCAAGATTGGATACTATTGTGCTTCACTTTTTTAGATTACTTAATAAAATATTCAAGTTTCAAAGCCTAATTAGGATATCATTCAAACTAGAAGTATATTTAACAGTTAAAATGACCCCATAATTAAAGGCAAAGTTACAAATGTGCTATGAAGTTTAAATGAAATATATATGCGAGGTAGAGCAGTCTCGAGAATGCTACAGGCCCAATATTTCAAATTGAATGTTCCATTGTGATTTGCTTGGGCCTCTAAAATAAAAAGTTTGAGAATTTCATTTTAACTTCCAAGAATTTGTGTGTGTTATATAGGAATGCATGCATCAATGGAGACTGACATGAAGAAAACAGACCACACTTTAAAACTGCTCATATTTCAATTCTTTTAACTTTAAGATGGTCTTAAATCTTTTTTGAATGCCATTTTTAAAAAAATTATTATGAAATCTAGATACACAAAATTCAAGTAAAAGCACATTTGACATTTAGCTCATTCTCTCACACTTCAAGTTGAAGACACTTTCAACTTCTCATTCTCTTCAAGGGGGTCAAGCTTCAGCTTTGCTTTAGAAAGCTGACAACCCATACGGAACAAAGACTGGGGAGGGGGTGGGGCAGAGAAGTAGAACAATTTAAATTGCTCATCTCAAATAAAGTACACAACGTCAAAACAAAATGCACACGAAATCTAAAACGATGAACCACGGGGGCAATAAAATAAAGACAAAGACTTTCTAAAGGTGAAATGTGAAAGCTTTCGTGAAGAAAGATCCATGTAATTAACAATGAAATCCTCAACTGACACTAAGATACACTACTTGTTCCTCTGGACCCTCCGCTCCCTCACAAAACACACACATTTTTAAAAAAAATGTTTTGTCGGTCTCCGATTAGATTGGGATTTAAAGGATACTCTTCGTGGGGAGGAAATGGGGCACTGACGTGATTTACAAACCCGGCTCTTTCCCTCACAGAAAAGAGAGGGGGAAGGAAGGTTGGAGAGGGGGGAAGAAATGCATTCTGTGTGTGTGCCGAACCGGGGCCGGTGTCACTTAATAAAAGACACTCTACATAAATAAATATAACACGCACACAGAACATTAACACTGAACCCCTGGGGTTGCATTACGGTATCCGGCATCGGACAGACACTTACCACCCAGGTCAAACCTCCGGATTCCCCGTCTCCCTTGGACATCTTTCCAACGGCTGGCGGTGAATGAAGACGGACCTCGGCGGCTGCAGGGAGGGGAGGGAGAGGGGAGGGAAGGCGAGTGAGAGAGTGTGGGGCGAGTGGGGAAGACAGGGAGAAAGCTTCACTTAATATTTCTTTCGATTACATTTTTTTTTACAAAAAAAGCAAGACGGGAGGGTTTATCAGCGCGAGCTCTCCCCCAGCCGTCGCCCGGTGGCTCAGCCCCTCTTTGGGTTTTAATTTATGATAAACAAGGAATCTACATTAACAGGCGGCGGCCGGCGGAGCCGCGGGGCGGGGGGTCCCCGGCTGAGCTGTCGGTTGGCAGCTGCCGCCGTGGAGGAGGGAAGGGGAGGGGAGGGGAGGGTAGGCCGGAGTGAGTTTCACATTCGCTCGCAGGCAGTCCGGCGTATTTTTTTTTGCGCGTTGTTGAGAGAGAGAGAGAGAGAAAGAAAGAAGGCGAGAGAGGGAGGGAGGGAGAGGGCGGGAGGAACACGGCGAGGCCGTGTCAAGTGATTTAACTTAACGGCGGCGGCGGTTCTTCCTTCCACCTCCTCCTCCTCCCCGAACCGGGGCCGGTGTCACTTAATAAAAGACACAAATAAAATAGCGATTTGCATGCAAAGCGCTCCACCGCCGTTGCTCCTCCCTTTAATGCTGAAGTAGAAAGACACAGACACACACACACACAGGAGAGGGAAGCGACGGTGGTGCGAAGGGGAGGGAAGGCAGGGAGCCGCTCCAGACCTGCTTTAAGCTCTCATGGCGGAGGCAGGCACGGCTCGGCTCGGCTCGCGCCGCCTCAACCCCCCCTCTCGCGCTTTTAACGGTCGCCGCTCGAGTCGAGCCTCGGGGGGGGCTCGCGACCCGCTCCGAGCGAGAGTCCGGCTCGCGCACGCGCACTTCCTCTCTCCCCCCCCCACCCCCCACCACCCGACAGTCAGACCCCAAACAATGGGGAAGCCACAGAGAGGCCCTGCGACTGCGCCGCCGCCGCCGCCAGCGACTCCGAACCTTCCACACCAATCAGAACCCTCCTTCCTCCCCGGCAGCCGGGGCCGGAGCCGGACCAATCGACGGGGCCTTTGCAAACGTCAGATCGGCTGCGCTTCCAGCGAAGAGGGGTGGGGCAAGCACCCAGGGCAAGGCTTGCCCAGCAGCGCCTGCTGCAGGGTGCTGCACTCTGAGCTGGCTGTGCCTGTTTGGGGTACCTTACTTTTTATTTTTTTAAAAAAGTGCATTCCTTTGTACAATTATAATAATCCTTGCATTTGATATGCCGCCTTGTCCGTGTGTCCGTAAGACGCTTCCATAGGATTTTACAATGCAAATTTACATTTATGCAACAGCCCTGGCTGGGGGTCAGGAGCCAAGGGAAAGGCGATCAAAAGTATTGTCAAACAGATAGGTTTCAAAATGGACCTCGAACGAGGGGAGGGACAACCGAGTTGGAGGAACTTTGGGATAGAGTTCCAGAGAATGGGTCAGATGAGCTGAAAGCCTATCTGTAAATTACGATGAAGGTATTTTGTGGGGAACGCGGCAGCCAATTTGTGTCCAGCAACTTCTCACAAGCAGCCACAAAGTAAATGACCAATTCTGTCTGGAGGATTATTGGCAAGGACACTGGGACAAACTCCCTTCAAATAATGTATTCTATATCAATAATAAATTATTCATTTGTACTATACTGGTTTGTAAACATTAAGGAATGTTTTATTTCGTTTAAAAGATTAAAATAACTAATTATTTTCAACTGCATTATTTTCTTGTACCCCATCCCCAGCTTGAGTGCCCAGACAGCACTTTGAGATGTCCTCCCAGCATGAAAGGGGTGAAATACAGGTATATTGTATTACTGCATTTCCCACATGCCAATCAGATGCAGATTATAGAAAGATAACCTGATTTTGCAAAGCTTTCCAGGCACGAAATCATCCTGTGAACAATCAAGAGAATATAAATGAGAACAACTTGAATTGATATAGGACCCTTCATGTAGATAACATTAAAGTGCTTCACAGTGAAATATCCGTATTATTCAAAATATCCATATAATACTTGCATTTGATATAGTACCTTATCACATTGTTGATGTCTCAAAGCACTTCAGAGGATATACTCGAAAGTGGATTGACTGTATTTTGTGGGCAAAACACAGCAATGTCCCACAATCAGGCATGGAGTGAGTGAACAATTTTATTTAGGGGATTGTTGGCTAGGACACTGGGAGAAACTCCCTTCTCTTTTCAAATAGTGTCATGGGATCTTTAATGTCCACCTGAACAGGTAAACAGACAATGACTCATCTGAAGGATGACACCTCCAACACTGCAGTCCACCACCAGCATTGCATTGGGGTGTCAGGGTGGTCCAACCTTTTTGGTGTTGAGGGCCGGATTTCACATGTGAGAGAACTCCACGGGCCACATAAGCAATATTTTAGTTTTTCCCTTACAGAAACAAAGAATCATATAGAAATCCTAGGTTTTAGATTGTGTAACTATTAATAAAAATCATCTCAAATGGAAATAAATGCAACAATTTAATGTATTAAAGTCAAAACCAAGATATCAACTCAGCACATGGAGGCCCCAAGAGAGAATGCTCAACAAAACCTAAACAGATTAATCCATAATTGCAAAACTAACAAAGGAACATAATAGAGATACTTTTGAATAATTATTTTGAATATATAATTGATTTTCATTAGTTTTCTGCAAAGGGATTATTAGTGTATCATGCAGTGGAAGGTAGTACATTCAATTACATTTTATTTCAGCAAACCTACCAAACTATTTTTACAGCAGGTCATTGATTTTGCAACATCCATCATGATGCAGGAACACTAACTGAAATCCACCGTATTTACTGACAATTGAACTAAGTACCTTGTAAATATCCAACCCCTTTTTAGTAGTTTTCAGAGAAATTAACTCAAGTAATTCTTCATGAACTAGAGAGAATGAGAAGTATTTACATTTTTCAACAATTGTCCTGAACTTTGTATTCACGCGTTTGTTCATGTCACTTATGCTCCTTGCCAGTTTGGTGAGACAGTGGTACACTTTCAAAATTATTGGCCATATTTTTACATCATCAAATGTACGAGCCATTTTGGCCACACAATTTTTTTTTACCACTTCAAAATGACTTCTTAAACTTCACTAGCTGGAGACAGACCTTGTAAGATACAATCAGACTTGCAGTTTGAACATTTGCAGCTTTGGTGAAAATGTGCTTCTGCATCTGGCTTTTCCAGTATATATGTTGTATTTTGCCTTGTGTCATGTATTGCACTGCCTTCTGATGTTGAACTCCTTCAACACAGATATTACTTGCAAGCAAAGAAGGCACTGATATTTTCCATTAGAGACTGAAACATAACCAATGTGAATTCAGCCATCCAGCCTGGGCTGTTTCCCCCGACCCCCTTCTCCCTCCCCACACGTTTCCGGAGGTAAAAATAATAATAATTTGGTTACTCAATCCACAACTGTTTGTAGGACACTTCTGTGTGCAATTGGCTGCAGCATTTCACCCACAACATATACAATCAATTCACTTTACAGTATATTCTGTGAAGCGCCTTGAGACATCTCGAAAATGTGATAAGGCACTATATCAAATGCAAGGATTGTTAATATTTTCAATAAGTAATCAATTTCCCACTTCCACTGAAATGCTCTATTTTCCAATTCTATCTTCCGGTTCCTACGGAGACTCGCATTCTGCTGGGCCTAGATTCTCCCCATGTCTCCCCAGGTTACAAGACTGGCAAGACTGGGGATCACTCTCACTCTTGGTACGCCTCATGCTGTTGCAACGCAGACTGACCACAAGTGGCGCAGCCGGGAGATAAAACTGAAGTCTGAAATGGTTTGCGAGATACATAAAATCACGAGTGCTGCCTGTTGGACCTCGCTGTGAATGTGATTCTAAGTCCCAAAGTGGTGCTTGAAACTACAACCTTCTGACTCCAGAGGCAAGAGTGCTACCACTGAATCAGGGAAACACACAGGTTGACACTGTTACAATAAGAGTGAAGACATTATAATCCATTACGATCCACCGTGTAACTCATTGTGGTATTCAATAAAAACTAGCAAACTGGTAATTTTTGGAACAATAATATTGATTAAAGTAAATGGATACAATTGAAATATCTACATGCCCAGTACCACACTATCAATACCGCTTTCAGAACAGCCTTGTATTTACAGTTGAGTGGGACAAACTTAATACTAGCAATATTGCTCCAATTCATTCAACTTGTTTTTAAAGTTTGTTTCAACATGAAATTCTGGGCTTAAACATTCGTGAGAAAGGACTATGCAAATGAGCTCTTCCTAAAACAAAGAATACATTTTGTATTACACAGTGCCTTATCAAACTATATTCCAGTTTCATGAAATAATGTAATGGCACCAAGTTATGTTAAGCAAGATAGCATTATGGAAGACACTAAACAATTAAGACAGGACCTAAATCAAGCCTAATTATTTCAGATTCACTTTCTCTTTAAACCAGAATATTTTACCAAGAGATAATATTTTAGAAGTGATGTAAATAATCTTCCATGTAAGAGGCAACATCTCAATTTGTGAATCAAACTTGTAACGCTATGCTACATTGTGTTTTCAAATTCTACCTTAGGGTCCAAGGATCCTTGTGCATGACACCACCAAGATTGAAGAGAGCAGGAGAGGATGAGATAAGAATCAAGTAATAGTTAGGTGAAGCCAATCTTATGTTTTAAGACTCAAGAATGAAAAAAGGCATGTTACCTAGATTCCGGATAACAGCTACAACCATTTCAGTGGAAATGATCTAAAGTTTTTGAAGAATCACTGGGCATTACACCAGATCATATAACAGAAAACTAGTAAAACTGTGGAAAGTAAGCTTCTCTCATACATATGGTATATATGAAACGTACTCCATGAAAACAAGAAAATCTCACTTTGCACATCCCTTCTATACGAGAAGTACCAGAATTGTGGAGTCCTGTAACTCAATGGTTAGAGCACTCGCAAGCAAGAGGACCGGGTTCTATTCCTGGCAGGGCAAAATGTTGGGCAAGTTTCCTTACTCCATACACCTGTTTACCTAGCAGTTAAGTAAGAACCCGATTGTTGATTGACAGATCACTTTTCCTGGGATAATCCTCAAAAAAAAATTGGTCATTCAATCCACGACTGTTTGTGGGACACTGCTGAGAGTAATTGGCTGCAGTGTTTCACCCACAAATATAGTCAACTCACTTTACAGGACATGCTGTGAAGCGCTTTGAGACGTCTAGAAGATGTGAAAAGCTCTATATCACATGCGAGGATTATTATTCTTGTACATTCCTGTTGGCTCCAACTAACTTAACCACAAGTAGAAGGCTTGGAGCTGCAAGTCATTGATCAAGATGCAGTTCAAGCTCTACAACTCCACACAATTAAAATTATGTTGCAAAGAAACTGAACCATTTATCCTATTAATTCTCTACAATAAGTTTTACAAACAGTTCACATCACCCTTGTTCAATATTATAAATTTTCTATTGTGCTAGCTATAATTTTTTTTAAAAAAAACCTCAAGATACCCATCTAGTTAACCCATCTCTGAATGTGCTTTCAACAACAACTTGCATTTATATAGCACCCCTCACACAGGGTAGTGTCTCAGATCACTTTCAACCACCTTCCACTTATCCCTCCCATATGAGACTCCACTTAGCATTTTTAAAGTACTTTGAGAAGTTCACTCTATGTAAATAGCGCTGTATAAAATAGCAAGTTGTTGTAGCAGAACATGTAAGTGCAGCTCACATAACTTCTGCTTAATGTTGGCAAGTGTGCTTCAATTTTGTTCCCCCACCATTATTCTTCTATGAAACAATTCCCAGAGTTGTAGCTCTTCATTAAGCATTGTTTATAATCAGCTTATCGCAATTAGAAACTCTGTGTCAGAAGGTTATGGGATCAAGCACATCAAGACACAAACGGTTTCTTACCAGTAGTCCTAGGGGAGCACAGTATTGTGCGAGATGGTGCATTTTAGATAAAACAATAAACAAAGAACCTCAATGTTTGTTCAAATCCATAATACTATTCAAAAAGTTAGTTGGTCTTGGTGTACTGGTTAATAATCTTCCAGATTAATTGGCCATTTATCGTGTAGTTGTTAGTGACTCCTTGTTGTATGCAATGATTTTCTATAAAAAGAGTGACTCCACATTACAGTAATTACCTGTGAGACACTGAGCCCTTGATAACTAATTACATGTGAAACACTTCAAGACTTATGTTTAATGTGCTATAAAAACGGCAAGTTTTCTTAATCAAGCAAGTAACAATGGCCGAAAACAGCACTTGAAATTGAACTAATTGGACAGGGCAAATACAACAACTTGCATTTACATAGCTCCCTTCATCCCAGAGCACTTGCCAGTGGTGGAGTCTGACCCTGAGCCAGAGGACCGTAAGCATGATCAAAAAGGTTTTTAGGAGAGGTTTGAAAGTGCATAGGGATGGGGCCAGGTAGAGAGTTCCAGAGCTTCGGGCACAGTGGCTGAAAGAGTGGAGGGTATGCAAATCGGATAGGTAGGGAGATGCGAAGGCATGAAGGGATTTGAAAACGAGTGAGAGGATCTTGAAGTCCGATCCTTTCAGTAATTGGGAGCCAGTAGTGCATGGGAAGGACTGATGCGATGGGGGTACGGAGTTTTGTGCATGTTGGTATCCGGGCGGCAAAATTCTGAATTAATTGAATTTTGTATATTGTGGAGCTGGGGAGAACAGAGAGGAGGGCAGTTGAATAGTCCAGTCAGGAAGTGACAAAGGCGTGGACGAGGGTTTTGGCCGCTGTTGGTGTGAGGTACGGATGGAGTTGGGCAAATATACTGGAATGAGCATAAATTTTGTCATGTAATAGAGCCAAGGCAGTATAGCAATGGATAAATAAAATTATGGCACAATTCTGCATTCTCAAACTTGTTCTGTGAGGAAATGGGCTATAGAAATAAATATTACATATACAAGAACACAAAATAGTAGAACTATCAACATCAAAGGGAAGAAGTGTGTATAGAGCAAGTGAAGCAGGTAGGAAGCTACATCAGTATTGATCCAAGCAGAAGTTAGCCTTTTTAAGGGTGGGCACCTAGACAGTGCCAGAAACCAGGTGTACTGCACCATGCAAGCATGCAGTGCTAATCTGCGCGGGGGGGGGCTGAAAGAGCACTAAGATAGTTCATGGTGTAAGAGGGCAGGCAAAAGACAAAGACCATAAAAGCTCCAGCTTTTGTTGCCATTTTCTATGTTGCCATTTTCTAAGTGGCAAAATATTTAGAAAACAAAAGGCACCTCTATTTTAAAGGGAAACTATACTAGACAACATCCGCATTAAATAGAAAGTAGATGTTGAGTATTTAAATTAACCAATTCTAAAATTCAAACCAGATTAGTTAGTTTTCCCATTAATTTTAGAGTGTGCTTCTCGAGTAGACTGGATAGATTTTCCATAGTGCAGTCAATGGGCACTCTTACATCAATGCTACAGACTATATAGTCTGACTATAGATTCCACTATGTGGAGTCCTGTAGCGCAGTGGTTAGAGCACTCGCCTTGCAAGCGAGACACCTGGGTTCAATTCCAGGCAGAGGGCGAAACCTTGGGCAAGTTTCCTTACTCCACACAGAGCCCTAATAATAATCCCTCCAAAAAACAATAATAAATTGGTCATTTTCAATCCACGACTGTTTGTGGGTCACTGCTGTGCCAATTGTCTGCCGCATTTCACCCACAAATATACAGTCAATTCACTTTACAACATATTCTGTGAAGCGCTTTGAGACGTCTAGAAAACGTGAAAAGCGCTATATCAAATGCAAGGATTATTATTATATGGGAAAACAACATTGATTCAGTACATTGCTGGATTTGTATGCACCATATGGACAGACACAGTGGTAGAACCAGATTGCAGAAACTGATACAAGGGCATTCTTCTTGCACATTGAAGGAGCAAAATATGAAAAGGCAAAAATGCACAAAGGTCCCCCTGTTGTCAATTGCTTTCATCTAGTTAACTAGAAATAAAACAAAAATTCCACAAATTCAACCTAATCAAAAAAAGAATTGTAGGATTAGTGCAAACATGCAAACTTAAAGTATTAAATGTTATAAACACTGGTGTGTGGGGAGGAGATTTACAAATAGTTCATATGATGCATTATATTTACTCTTTAAGCTTTGTTAATTTTACAATGGTAAATATACAAATTCACAACTACAGATAAACATACATAAGCATGGTTCTGATTCATTAAACCATTTCCCATTGTATAGAATTTAATTCAAGCATAAGATGTTCTTCCACAAATTTCACTCACAAAGTGGCATTTGATGGAAGCTAACATGTGTGAATTGAGCCTTTACAAAAAAAGTAAAATAGCTGATTAAATGTTTTACTTGAATTACAAATTCTGAAACAAGCATTACATTCGTTTTACACTCAGTCATGCAGATAAGTCATAATAAAAGAACAAGGGATTTTCTCAGTGTACTGGCCAACAATCTTCCAGATAAATCATAACTTTATGGCAGTTTGTGAGACACTGAAGTGAGCAACTTGGTTGGCTGCCATGTCCACCTGTAAATGGTTAATATACTTACAAAAAAGCTTTGTGAAGAGACTTGACTTTCTAGGCACAATATCAAATACAAGAATTAACATTTAGAGCAGCTTCATTTGTAGCCAAATGATTTTCTTGTAAAGTCTGAGAAATAGTCAGAAATCCAGTCTCACATCTTAATAATTTAGCATTAAACCAAAACATAAAGACATAAGCGTTTATTAGAAGCCAATTACCAAATTAATCGGCAGTATTTTGTAGAATCAGATTCTATACTTTTGCTAGAAAACATAATGACAAGCTTGCACAAAGGTTCCTTCATTATGTGCTAAAACCTAGGAAATGTTTGGTTCAATTCCAATATTGGCTCAGTAAGGTAGATCACAGAGCTTACTTTGTTAGTTTAATATTGTTGTCAATATCACAACCCTCATTACAGAAATGCTGTAACCTGTTACATGGTTAGATTTTAAGCTCTTCTGGGATACTCACAATTACTGTACACAAAAGGCTCCGTTCCAGAGCATGCTAACGCAACCTGTATCTGGGCTTGTCCCAATATTCGTAAGGCTAAATATACTCAAAAATTTTGCAAAACAAGATGGCTACTGAGCACGATTTTTTTTTGCAAACTTTGACCAAGCATAGGAGACTATGTATGTTCTGGAGTTTGACTAAAAGGTCAACACTTTGCAAGTGGTCTTAGATTGATCTTAGATTTGATTCAACCCACATAGCTAAAGCCCAATATCTCCAAACTACAAAAATCTACATTCTAAAAGCAACTTTTTTCAAAATTTAATTCAACAATGATTGTATTGATACCCAAACTAAACAAGTTTAATTTGCACTCTGTCAAAAAAAAGGTAGGTGTTACTAACTTGGAAATTTTCTATCTAAATATTGCTGAATACAGTATTTTATAGCATGTGGGAACAAGTTTTTTTTCCAGAATATAGGTAGAGGAAAAACTCTAATTATGTATTATACCAACATAGGATTATTACTGCCACAATCTTCAAAAGGTTCATAAAAATTTAGGCTGCATCCAAATGTATGGTACTGATGGAAGATTTTAGTGCAAAAATTAGTGTTTATTATTGAACACATTAGCATAATGTAGAAATCACAAAAAATATATGTCCAGTAAATTCTAAACATCTGTTCATGCAGCTGAGAACATTCATACTTAATCTAAATGTCTATAAAGAGTTATAATCATCTCTAGCGGATACTCTTGACAATCATTTAAACTTTGTCTGAAGAGCTGGGTGTGCTGCCAGGCTGTATCTCCTTGTCCACCACTTAACTCAGCTTCTAAAATTAATTCTGTAGATCCATGAAAACTGGGAAACAAATAAGTCTCCTTATCTATTAAAAAAGGAAAAAAAGACATTTAATGATTAAAATAATGAAGTTATCCTATGGATCTCTTCCTCTCCCTCCCATCTCCCCAGAATAATTTGATCAAAGAGGAGATGATTAATACACTAATATTGGCACCCAAGTCAGATATAGCACAGTAACTATCCTATCTGCAACACAAATGTTGAATCACTTTTTTATTTTTACATCAACCTCAGTGAGATTGCAACCTTAGTTTAAACTATACATTGAAAATGAATACATTTCATATATATGTTTTTAAAAAGTCTAACTTAAAATGGCCAAATGGGGGGGGGGGCTACGCTTAATCAATGTGAAGAGACTTTGGCTGAAAAGTGTAACTTTATGAATGTCATGTGAGGACAGGATGGGATTCAGTGGTAGTCTCCCACAGTCAAATGACCGTCATTATAAATTTGCACATGAAGAATGACCACAGATGAAACTAATGCCTATGAAACCATACTCCAACGGAGTCAGCTCTTTCAGAAGAATACGTGAAGGATAAGTGTGGAGAAAACTAACAAACATAAGCTTCTATACCCCAGTACAACTACCACTTACAATTTGGATGCACCAGGAACCATTTAGGAAGTTCCAAGCATTTTCACCCACTATCAACCCACAACAGGGAAGAATCACTGATAGCTACACATATTCTTAATGTGTTTTTGTTATCTACTCACACCCACTATGAATGGATACTATCCATTCTCCTTTCACATAGGACTCTGGCACAGATTAGAGGGGGTTATTCCATCGGTCTGGACTGGACACAAAACCCAGATACAGAGCTGAAAGGACAGTGTTCTTATCCAATGCATGATCCATTCTACACAATACATCTTGTTCAGATCTCTATTATAGTGTTTAAGGCAAATCATTTTTGCAAAGAATCGGTTTCTGCATTAGACAAATGTATGTACAGTGAATTGCAATATTTTATATCCCTTCAACCTACGCAAATTATCACATAAAAACATTATAAGAAACATTTAAGCTACAAATGATGCTTTTTTAAAAAAGTATCAGATTTAAATTATATTTAATGAGCATTCTTTCACTAACAATGAGTTTTATTGGGATCACTATTAGCCATAGTATACAATCTGGAATTAATAGTTCAGCAAATGTGCACCATGGTTAATAGTTTTCTCCATATAAAAATATTAGAATTTTAACTTTTTTTAAAAAACTTGGGCAATAGTTTGTTTTCAGTAAATTTTGTCTCTTTTTCAACCTCCCCCCACCCAGGCAAGCTTATTATTTGAATTTTATTTCTACAGACTGACTTTGCTGGCATTGAGCATGGAGACCTAAATGAGCAGCGATATGAGGCTTTCTGCCCTCTCTGCCTTTCTTCAGATCACACCTTAACTTTTCTTGACCAAGCCTTCAGTCACCTCCCTTCCAAAATGAAGTTTGATGAAACAATTTTTGATGAGTCCAATTCTCTCCTAATCCAAACTGAAAGCAAATGCCAATATTCCATAAGTAGGCTTGCAGTGATTTGGCCTTTTTTCTAATTTTCTTCAAATCAAGGAAAATGCAATGCTATTATTAAACATGGGAGGGAATTACTTTTTTTATAAAAAAACCAAAATGTTCTTCATCTGACATACAAGGTCACCATGAACACGGCTTACTGTGTGCATTTGCATTACACAAGAAGCAACATCCACAGCTAACTCAAACCTGGACATCAGACATTTTTGTTGTCAAAGAACTTAAATTTAAAGAGCTAAAAATTTAATTAAAATCTAAAATAGGCAAGGTAAAACAAGCATTATCTGTCAAAATTAAAGTTATGAAAATCAAGCATTCGGGATGTCTATCCATAATGCAATTACATACCTCCAGTTAGATCTATACTGTTTGTGTTCGAACTCAGGTGCCATCGAACTAATCCAGTCTCAAATGTCTCGCTACTGGCTCTGATAGAAACATTGTCAATCCTTAGACCCACTGAGCCACATTCAAACTTCCAGCTGACTTTGCCAGATGATGATCCTTCGGTTCTAGCGATATATACCTGCAGATATATTGTATTATTTATTATAGAAATGTGTGTATTGTACATTTCACAAAAAATATTTCAATTAAACAATTTACCATAAATTAAGGAATTAATATTCAGCTGCTAAAGATCAGCAGATTTAAGGATAAGAAATCTGTTTGATCTACATTTAAATATTTCTAGAAATTTGGCAAAACACCCACTTAAAAATATTGTATTTTGAAAGAATTTTCAAAATAAATAACTTGCCATACTTATTTTGAAAAGGATTTTTAAAAAAGTGGCAAGACATTTTTTGATTGTGGAAAGCATTACATTATTTAGGCTATAGGATTGTGATACGGTGTTGCACTGCAAGTTTGACATTTTTTCTATTCTGTTCAACGACTCAAACTCAGTAGTATGGAAAATGTATTAAATGGTTGTATTAATGTATTAAAAAGGTTAATAAAGTTGCACTTGTTGGTGGATTTAAAAAAGATTTTCACTTTAAATACAGTATGAGGAACAAAAATGAGGATTTTATAGGCAATTTTTATACTTCAAGAAGAGGTTCTTTAAAAACAAAATTGGCACATTTAAGATGAGGCAGGTAATGCAAATGCAAAACAGTTTGAGAATGATGTCCAAGGGTAGCAATTTTATTCTTCCTGGATCTTAATTTATTTTAGCCCCATGGAAACCTGCCTTTTAAGATCACTCATTGCACCAGAGAACTGTTCCAATGACATCCATTCTGTGTCAAAAATGGCTCCTTAGGGAATCCAGAGATCAGCTGTCCAAGACTGGCTTAGATTTACACATTTTTAAAAAAAACAATACTTGAGGCACTGCACAGACCGGGGAGAAGGGAATATCTTGAAAGAGGCTCTTAAGTAATGCTTTGCAAATTGTATTCATCCATCCGTGAAAGATCTAGACAGATTTCTCAGAGAAGAGTGGATTGTTGACTACAGTAGCCTAGATATTACAGACTGATATTGCTAACAGCGAGTGGTGTTGTAGGGTATAGGATTGATCAGACAAGCTTATGTTACTGGGGGCTTGGCCATCTCCTAGAGGTAACTCAACTACCTTAAGGAGTCAGGAAGTTTCACCAATGATGTCTCTCCCCCCCAGCCTATTTCTTGTTTCTGAGGTGGAGGAAAAAGAGAAGACTGAGTGAGTGGTTGACAACAAGAGAGAAGAGTGCTTAATAAATTGGCTGAGACACGAGACGCAAGTGAAAAGGGAGAAAGGACTCAATGAGCCACTGGGCCTTTCCTTTCCACATATCTGTGATTATATAATAGTAATTATCCAATCCAGCTCAGGAAACTCAATCAGCTGACAAGCAGGTCCTGGTACCCATCTTCAGCTTCCTATGGAGATACTTGGCACTTTGTGGCAAACTCTTTAGTTGCAAGCATTGGTGTTTGGTAACAAAATCTAAACGACACTGGTTAGTTTGCACTGGCAAAAGACGCCTGGAGAAGAGTAGGAAACAAAGGGTAGGCCAAAGCTTATAATGATCCAGTGTTGTAATATTGTACCCTAGTCTGGCAGAATACAGAGAAATCATGTTAACTGCTCATGGACTCAGGCAGTTTAGAAAATTAACACTGCTTCAGGGAAACTGTCCACAACTTCACCAAAGGAGAGGATATCAATATCGATTGGCAAGTCAGTCCATCACTTAATTTCTGCATTTTGTGGAAGTAACAGGCTAAGGACATTTTGTGCAGAACACTCCCAGATGAGAGAACATTAATTTGTTTAGCCTGCAGCTAGTGGCTCCCAGATGATGGAGAATACTTAAACCACCTCATTGTGAAACTAAATCAGTAATGCCTCATTCCATATGTGACCATGCATTTCTTAATAATTTGAGAGATCAAAATTGGAATGTTAAGTTCTTTTCTTTAAAAAAANTAAAATTTGAATAGCCCACATTTTATATTCAGCAGCCAGAGAAACCAGCTACAATCAGAGTTCAACTGTGCAGCGCCTTGGGACGTCCTCCTGACGTGAAAGGCGCTCTATAAATGGAATCTTGTTGTTGTTGTTGTTGTTGTTCTTTGTGTTAGTGTGCATTACATCAACAATGTTTCTGCATGTTAGTTTGATTGTACATGTAGTTGGAAACTAAGAAAACAAAACCTTGATACGGGAATATTCCATATTATTTACTGGTCATCCAGTTTTGGATAAAATACTTCAATCTTTTCAGATTCAGCACTTATTTTTAATGTTACTTTGAAATATCTAATCTCCCTCCCCTATTCCAATTCAGTTTAAATTGATTTCCTGTATAACGTTACCAGAAAATGACTGAAAACATTGTAAAATAGAGCTGAAAAAAGCCACAGCCATCTTTTGTGGAGAGCTTCTAGAATTCCTATTAGACAAAGATCTTGTAATAGCTGTACACAGAAAACAATGAATAAATGCATGAGCAAGTTAAAGAGAAAACCTTGCAGCAACCTCGTACCATTTTCCAGTCATTCTCCAATTTTCTGAACACAGAATCCATTTTCCATACACCTTTTTCCCAGTCTTCAATGACTGTGTTGTCATTAGAAACCCGAATGTAGTGATTTTCTACAGCACTGTATTTGAGATGGAATAGTTTTGCTTCACTTTCTTTTGCAGAAGCTACAAAAACAATCTCGGTGTTCTGTACAAAAAAAAAGAAACAGTTGTAAAAAAAAAATTCCCAGCCCACTGTTTACATGCAACAATAACTTGAGCAAGAATGGTCTCCAATTCTGTTGTAACACTGGTCAAAGAAAGGACTGCTTCTTGAATCTTAATGCTATATTACAGGGGGTCTCACCATCAATGCAAAATAATTCATTACCTTTAACACCATTTTGATTTGGTTGCAAACAATGAGCGATTAAGTTTTTTCTTTTATTAACTATGCTACAGAATGATTTAGAAGTGGCTTAGAATATTAATAAAATCAAAGAATAGTCAAAGTGACAGCCATTTTTAAAATCAAATGTGATGCCTGCCATTAATTATCTCCATTTAATTTCCCCTTGGTAATTGCTGTGTCCATAAAGGTTTTGGCAATTGGTGGTGACAACCTGTACATTTGCAAACCCCTCCTCCTCATCCAAAGCAGGAGATGAAATAATACACAATTCAATCCATGAAGCATGCCATTTCTTAAGGACCACGTAAAACTTGTATAGCTACTGTGCTCCCTAAATTAATTTCCTGAAGCGGACAAAACTCTATCTTACCAAGGTAATCAAGTACAATCTTCAAAATATTAATCTAATATTAGGAAGAAATCACAGAAAGACCAGTCCTGATATGATTTCCTAAAAAAACACTTGCTTTTCATATTAATTATTATTGTCACTAAGCAGCTCTCCGATTCCCTCTAGCATTTGCTAACAATGTCTCCATCGGCTCCCTCAATACTCCAGTCCAGATTTCCCCTACACTATGTAAAATAATTAATTCAAATATATGGCAAAATGGCCTTTCGTGTACACTTAGCCAGTTGATAGCACTCATGCTTCTGGATCAGATGTTCGTGAGTTCAAGCCCCATGATACAAGCTAATATTCTTGGCAAAGTATGTACCTAAGACAGATTAAGAATCAGAACATATTTAATTTCCGCAACTTCGAGAACCTTAGGATGAAAATTTAGCTTCTTTGCCATTGCATTGCCAAGCAGGTCACCCACGAGGCAGTTTAGCTCCAAGGAGACTCTGCTTACCTCCCCCAAAAGCAGGACAGTCATGAGTTGGTTACTTATATAGAAATCGTGTCTGTCTAGTTTCTCCCAGTAACAATATTGCTCACAATTTGGACATTTATTTGAGCCCTCCATACCCAACTCTCAGGAACACCCACCCTACTCTCCTCTCAAAATTCCTTCTCTGTCTTCAAAACCCTTTTAAAAACTTATGTCTTCTAAAATGCCTTTGATCACTTTCCTCCTTTAAGTTTCCACACCAATTCTCTGAAGTGCTTTGAGATGCTATCCTACAAGGTGAACAGTAAAACTCATATCCGTCATATCAGTCGGCACCGTAACATTTAATATGACTTACATGAAGTCTGAGTTGCAGGAAAACTGTATAAATTATAGAATCCAATTTAATCAATTATCTACACTGCGCATGTGTAATTCAATACATGTCAATAAATGCGCATGTGGTAGTTAGTCACTGCAGCCAGTAAATGCACGTGCGATGACGAGTCAAGACTACATTTCCTGCAATTCAATGTGTCATTGAATCGCCGCATGCACTTATCAGCAAGCGTTAGAATCTAGTTGATTTGCTGGAAATGAAGTTATTCTGTAAATGTAGCCGGATGGCAATTGTGCATGAATCGATGGGTTTTATCTACTGCACTCAAATAAAAACAAGTGATGAAATTCAAAATTGTGTGAAAATCTTAACATAGCAAAAACTACTGCTGCGATCAGAATGTGATGGGAAGTTATTGCACACAGAATGGTTTTAATATATCATAATACCTCAGCTTGAGCACCAATTTCTCCTCGAGCTACTCTCCACATCACAGAGCCAGATGTCCTCCCACCTAGTTCTCCTGGTTTTGGGGTCTTTGGTGAGATGAACTCTACAAGCTCTGTAATAAATCTTTCACAAAGTTCCTGCCTCCTGTCTAGTGGGAACAACCGCTGCCTCTGTAAAAGAGAAAAAAAAACAGTAAAACTCATAAGTCGTACAAGTTGGGATCATAACAGTTAATTCTGCAAAGTATATACAGAAGACTTATGCAAGTTTTATTGTTTATAAAAAACAAAAAAGTAAATTCATTAAATTGCACATTATGAATAAATCTCAGATCCGACTTCAGATCTCCACAACTACTTTTCCTTTAAAAAAAACCCTGAGATTTAAGAGCAATTTAATTTTGTTTACAAAATAAACACATCACTACACTTTACAGTAAATCCTCTGAAACATCCTGAGACATTCTGAACTGAAAGGCACTGTATCAAATACAAGACTTATACATATGCCTACCTCAACATTTAGTCTATTGATTGTTTTCAATAGCCATCGTTCTTGGACTTCAGTTCTACGACTCTGAAGTTCTTTATGCTTGCAGGAGTATCGCCAGCTAACATCAACCACCTTGAAAGGAGCACAAGAACAATGATAAAATATGATAAACCACAACAGATAATGTCTACCATAGGGATCATAATGTATTGCTTAACAATTAGCACAGTTATCGTATAAATTACTTAAAGAGGAAGTGTAAGCTAAAAACATCTTGTCTGGGAAAAACTAACCGCAATTGTTTTAAACTACAAACTGTCAAAGAAATGAATAGGGCTGCTACAAGGCATAGGCCTTATGTTAACAGAACCGTTCAGGATATGAACAGGCAATTGAAACAGCAGGTCTCAGTGTGCAAGGAAATAACTTTCTATATTGACAGCATCCCCCATTGAGGCTTGAACTGCACCAAAGCAGTTTTTACTCATTTGTTTTAAATTATACACAAAACAAGTCCACACTTTAATTTATCTTTAAAAGTAAATGTTATACCTTTAAAAATGCATTTTATAAGAGAAGATTTTTCCCTTTAATTCTATGAAGTACTACACAGCCAGTGGTTTGTATTGGTGGAGTGAACCTGCTAAAATAAGTGATCAAAAATTTTAAAATAATCAGATGAACTCTGGTGTGGAACCAATTCAGAAGATGGATCAAATTCTCTCTAATGCACCAGTGTGGACTTTCGCTGATCTCACTTTTGCCAAATCCAAATGGTCAGCACTCTGTAGTGGCAAAATGTGGAAACCACCAACTGAAGTACTGGCATCCCACACACTGCCAAATACAGAGGTCACTGAAACCCAATTATCTGAAAGCTCCATATCATACTTTGTGGATTAGTTGCTGTCTCAATGAAATTTAAAACGTGGTTTGTATTTGCAAACACCACACAACAAATTTCCAGGCTGACACTTCCTCACAGGCAGAAAAAGTCAACCTAGGATAGACCATCAAACTCCCATCAAGAGATACAAGATTAGCCCCAAACTAGGAACATTTCAGCAATGGTCCATGACACAACAGTCTATAAAACAAAATATTTTAATCAATATTCTATGGAGGATTAAGTGAAAATAGGTTAATTTTTCAACAAACAAAATTATTTGGGTAGGATGTTAACCGGCTCAATTTTCAAAGCTTGGGTGATTTACTATTATTTTACAGGCTAAGGTTTACTCTCACCCATCCCCAAAATCAGTGAGCATTCTTATATTTGTCCTTTCCGGCTATTTATGAATTGCTGATGCTCAGTGACCCAGTCAATTTATTTCTTTATGCAATTAGAATTTTTAGAACCAGTTCAAATCTCACCTCATCTTTTGAAAAAGCAAACACATAAGACAGCTTCTTTCCCCATCCAATTTCGTACAGAAGTGGTTTGTCACAAACATTTTCACAAGGATCACAATGTAGCCACCTTTTCTGGGAATTTAAGTAAACCTCTGTCCACACGTGGTCTGAAGATACAACCATAACATTTTGGTCACATTATCGATATTAAATTAGAATATACAGGGAAATTTTCCCTAATACTTTTCCTTAAGTCATCCAGAAAATAATCTGTCCATATTGTATCACAGTTAGGACTCCTAATACTTACCAATTCTTCAACATTATTAAACACTTCAGAGCGAAAGAACGAGAAGACTAAAAATCAAAGCATTGATTACACCTAATAATACAACTTGTACTCCACTTAGACTAATGTAACTAAGATTAAAATAAGATCCTTATGTATTTTGCTTGAGGGATTAAAGCCACAGGAAGCAAAAACATTAAAACAGTGTGTAGATCATGGAGTATATAGCTAAAGGGATAGAGCACAAGTTATACAATATACTGAAGCTTTATGTTAACATTAATTCGGTCCTATTAAGAATGAAAGCATCTTTTCCATAGAATGGAGATAAGAAATTCTGTATGGATATCCATAGAGACAGTATAAAATTATGGTTCCACAAATGTGGTGTTTAGAGACAGATTATGAAAGAAAATCAGCCTGTAACCAAATCTCACTTAAGTAGGACCCAGGATTTGAAAACAATCACTCAGCACTGCTTGATTGTCGCTGTTTTTATTGAGAACACTTATTTTGTTCAAATTTAATTTCAATAGTTGTAGAAATAAATCATCATCAACATACCCTTAAATATACTTTAGTTCTTTTACAACAGATTTCCCCTACACTATAAAGAATACAAGGCCCTTATTTTAAATGTACTAAATACAGTATATAAATGCCAGGATTTTAAAAAGCTAAACAAAATACTGTTTGGCAGCATGCAAAGTGGAATTCTGAGGTTATTAAATCAGCACCCGTCTCTCACAAACAAAAAAGCTTTGCAGTGATATCCTTCCATCAGTGACTACCCATACCCATCATCATACAATTTAATATGTTCCAAATCAATGCAAAAATTCAGAAAAACAAAGTATAACAATGCACTTAAGTGACATTTCAAAGAATTCAGTATATTTGTACCTGTTACATCCCAAATATATCTTGCTTCAAATCCCATAGCCCTGCAGCACAGTGTAAAACATATGGCCCACTCTCCACAACGTCCACGCCTGGTTTCCAACAGCTTCTCAGGATGATTGTACCTGCAGATTTCAGAGTGTAAACGTTTTAGATGTAACACAATACTATCAAATTAAAAATAAAGCAAATGTTTTGTAAGTAAACAGCAGCTAAATTAATCATTTTACAAACAATGAGACAAACAGCAGACAATTCATCTGAACATTTGGGGGGAATATGGATAAAGGAAGAAAATGTCACAACAATCAAAAAATGTCATTCATCTTGGAATAGTTGCAGGATGTAGATCTTTAGGTATTTTGCTTGAGGGATTGAAGCCACAGGAAGCCATACTGAAACTGTGGAGCGCTGGTCTGGCTCCATCTAGAGTCAATATACAATTCTAGTCAATGTATTATAGTAATGATATCATGGCACTCTAGAGGATACACTGAAGGGCACCTATTTTGACAGTTGTAATTAACATCAGAGTTATATGGAGAAGCACAGAAGCTGGAAATACTCCTATTGGAGAATAATGGCTCAGAGGAGATCTTGTTGAAATAATAAAGATACCAGACAGTATAAACTAAAAAATTCTAACATGCTTCAAACAAATCCTACATATGGACACATGCCCTCGGTTACCAATTCTAGATATTAATGAATTACCCAATTAAGATGCATCATTTTAAACTTTTTTGGGGTTGGCCATGTGTCTGACAGAGGGAGAAAACCATCACTATCTTAAGACTATTCATTATATGAGGAGTTCCATATATGTATCCCACCTACACATGGAATTTTTCCTGCATCTAGAGAGGCATGCACACTCTTCCCCCTGGAGGGATGCATTCGGTTTACCCAGTTCCAGAGCGTATCAGGCATTGGCTGGCAAGAATGGCGATTGGTCGGAGCTAAGAGTGAGATGGAGTTGTTAAATAAACTAGTAGTTTTAGGTTTTGTCAGTTAAATCAGGGCTAAAGATGAGATTGGTTTGGGAAGTAACTAATTTTGGAAGAGGGCAAGATGCCAGTTTATTCCAAACAAATCACTTTTGATTTTGTTTTCCCCAAATAGCTCAGATAATTATCCTGTGTAAACAAACCATATTTAAATTTGTTTTGGTCAGTGTCCGACACATGTGGAAACCCATCACCATACTTAAAAGTATCGAAACCAGACAGAATTCCATGTACCTACAGATCTACAGATAGAAATACGAGTTTGAAATGGAATGTGCACTCTCTCCCCAGAGGGTCATACCCTGCTTTCCTAATTCTGGCATAAGGCACAGGATGGAAAGTCTCAACATTAGGGGAACCCAGATTGTGCGTTTTCAATTTTTAGCTCAACAGATTTACATTACAAAAATCAAGAGAAAACACTTACATTGTTCAATACAAAACATTTTAGTTTAATTTTTTTTAAATCTAGCAAACTAAATGACAAGCATAAACATAACTCTGCCCTTCTAGGTTCCATCAACAAACCAGAACATTGCTGTGGTTCAAATTCCCCTTCTAATCAGAGAATCAACCAACTTAACACAAAGACCACAGTGGCAGAAAAAGATTTGCTTTGCTCAGTGATCCTATTCCGATATACATGATTACAATATCTGGAGAGGAAAGAGGTCAACAAAATAACTACTTCAGTCATTCTGAATTTTAGGAACATGGGAATGTATAAGTCTGGAAAAGCCTTGTGGCCTGCCTGGTTCATCTTATTTTCTGTGGGACCTCGGTTTAACATCTCATCCAAAGTACAGCAGCTCCATCAATGCAACACATCCACATCTTCAGCACTGCATTGAAGTGTCATCTTAAACTATGTGATGCCAAGTCCCGACATGGTGCTTGACCTCAACCTTCTCATTCAGAGACAAGAGTGCTACCACTGAGCCAGGTTGACACAAGATCATCACAATGACTGGACTGAAAGAAATTGCTTCAACTATTGCTCTTGTTGCCTTTTTTAAAAAAAAATTACTTTAGAAAAAATATCTAAATATTTCATCATTTCAGCATTACATCATTTGATTCAGAAAAAAATAATTTCTGCATCATATTCTAAGTACAACAACAAAAACATTAGATGGGACACAACTATACTGTGCAACAATTATTATTCTCAGACCAGCATGAAATTACTGATGAAACAGAGCAGGTAAATTACTCATGGAGGGAAAAAATCAGTATGCAATCCTGCAAAAAAGAGAAGGGTTACCTTAAGGACAATCATGGCAATGCTTTCCTACAAGACATTTTATACAGTTTAATAATTGGGAATGTTACAGCAGGAAATGGGGATGAGTGGGGCTCCATGGCAGGGTCATACCAACATTTAAAAACAAACAAAAGCCTGATTCTAACCGGGCCTCTTAAAAAAATCTTAAAACTGAAATGAAGGCCAAATATGCCTGTCGCAATAAATCGTTTGATTAGAAATTATGGTACTGTAGTTTAAATATCAATGATATTTTAATGAGTACTTAAGTGATCACTATTCACGATAGCTTTAGAAAAAAATGCAGTTGCATAATGGTCAGCTCAAATGTGTTACACTACTGTAGATGAAGAGGAGAATTGCAAAATTCATTTTATTTTTCTGAACAAGCCTGATAATGATCCCTCAAAAAAAAATTGGTCACTTCAATCCACGACTGTTTGTGTGACACTGCTGTGCGCAGCTCGCTGCTGCGTTTCACCCGCAAATTCACTTTACAATATATTCTGGGCAGTGCTATGAAGTGTCTAGAAGATGTGAAAAGAAGTTTTATCAAATGGAAGCATTATTATTATCTTCATCATGCTAATATCAGTGGTGATTGCCTACCTTGGAAATCGGTTGCTGACGTGGCATTTTTTACAAAAATGATTCTCCACTCTTTGGGCATCCCATTTTAAGTCTTCACTGGTTGGTGGAAGTGAACCATTTGACTGCGTTGATTCTCCACACACATTACAGGGAAGTCCATTTACCCATTGGAAAAAATCTTGCTTAAACCACTGCAGCAGCTCCAGCAGCAAAAAATCATGTATAGTCACTGTTTCAGCTGTAACATTAAAATATGTTCAATAAATCTTCAAAAAGTACATTAATACAGTTGTAATTTCTCTCATTATTTGGATGCAATAGAAACTCAATGCATGAAAGACAACTCACCCTTCTGGGTATGAGCATCTGGAGAAAAAGCCCTTTTAAATCTTAATTTATGTGTAGAGCCCTTCCTTACTTAGCTGTACATCTAGCTTCATTCTGGCATATATCGTCAGTTCTTGCCAATCAAACGAGTTAGTAACCAAGTCTCAAGTGTATATACTGGCAGAAAATACACACGCTTGAATTGATGTCCTGGAAGTTCCATCAAAACAAGTCAATAGGAGGCAGATGATATATAGTGAGAATCCAATTTTTTTCTTTAATCATCACAACTGTTAATGAATGCACATCTAAAGAAGCTACCATCTTATCATCTTCCAACACAGTAATATAGCCTGTGTGTGCGTACGTGTGCGTGTGGGGTGGTGGGGGGAATGATGTATATCCTGAGTATCTGCTCCAAGTTTACAAGAGACAGAGCAAGGTAAATTGCAAGTGCTGCTCAATCAGCTTTAGTGTCCTTAACCTCCTCTCCAAATAACTTCTTGTTTGAAGAGGAAAGCTAATCCTCAGCCAAGGTGAACATACAAAGTATATCCGGTGAAGCGCTTTGGGACATCCACCTGACATGAAAGGCTATAAAGCAAATGCAAGGAGTGTTATTGCAATAATCCTTGCAATTGATATTGTGCATTTCTTGGAACGAGCCATTGGGTGGGACGCTCTCAATTGTTGTGAATTTGTATTTTGTAGGCAAATGTAACAGCCAATTCGCACACAGCAATGTCCCACAAACAGTAAAGTAAATGACCATTGTTTACTAGAGGATCTTAGACCCTTCGTTCACTGAGACCAATCTAACTATTCTGACTTATCTATTATACATTTCCAACATTTGTTCTTATTCTAGATTTACAGTATATACTTTTTTTCATCTGTAATACATCCAGTCAGCCCCTGGAAGATGTATTGTATGGCAGACACAGGGGACTTATGAAACACCTTTAAAATTAAAAAGTTTGCTTACCAGAATCCAGTTTTGTGGTGTGGTCCAACTTTTCTTCAGCTCGTTTCCTCATTTCATTGGTGGGAATACATGCCAAGGCTTTCTGCTGAAGAGCAGGGTTCTCGTACATCAAAACTCGCTGAAAATTGGAGCTCAGAGTTCTCAGGAAACTTAGTTCAGAATGCTTTAAAATAAAAAGTTCAATAAAATTCAATAGTGTCACAGAATAAAGCTGTAAAGTTGAAGCTCAAAATGCTACTAAACTGTTTTATGCATTTCAGTTCAAACAAGTGTTAATCCGAACAAATCCTTACCTGTTGGGAATTGCATGCATGGGTCAATACTAGGTGCAAGCAAAATAGGTAAAGCCTACTTACACACCTCAATCATTCCCACTCATGAACTGAAATGCATAAAACTTTAGTAGCATTTTGAGCTTCAAGCTTACCATTTTATTCTGTGATTTATTGAATTTTATTGACTGGATAGTTTAGTGCAAGGTTACATTGCTTTAAAGGTTTCTGGAAGGAAAGTAGTTATTAAACAATAATAGCTATTTGAAAATGGACAGTTTTGTCATTAAACCTGCAAGCAAACAAGCAAGCAGTTAAACAATCTCATTACATTTGACATTTCTTAGCACTGTCCCATGCAGCTTCCAACAAACTATTAATATGCTGCAGCTTAAAAAACTGTAATTGTAGAATTACAATTCTGAATAGAGGCATAGGGAATGGTATTCCAAAATGTTCACATTCCTTTGCCCTAAGATTTTGTTTGTTTCATAAATCAGAACTGTACCAGCTGTGCCAAAATATATGGCTCTTGGGCTGAGCACAATTGCTAACAAACTAATTAGATATAACTGGAAGGTATCCAAATATTGCTTCAACATTTTGTTGAATGAGGCGAGCTAACATAAAACAGGCTATGTTCTTTTTACCACCCCCTCAAAAAAACACTTGCGATAAAATATAACAGCCCCGTGTGTCCTATATTATAGTTAATCTGTCACACATTGATGAAAAGAATGCGGCTGTTCCGTGCATTTGTCGAGCTAATGTTTTTTTAAAATCTTTAATCCGGAATTTGGATTATACCACCAATTCTTAGATGCTCAAGAGTACAATGGCAAGACACAAACCTTCACCTCACCAACAACACAGAACTTTTTTCTCCAGAGCTGTGTCACCATGGGATACAAGAACCCAGGCTACATCATTTCAGCTGCTATCTGCATACAGATGTTTATGGAGAGCCTGCTCTCTTGACTCTATACAGAGATAAATTTGTATCAATGCCAATACTTAAGTATTCCTCACACTTATCTACAAGTTATTTCATTCCCCAGCACCTTATCTCTCCAACCTGCTCACGCCCCACAAATCTACTGCCCCATTGCGCAGCCAGCTCAGGCTTCCTGCGTCCAAGTCCCTCCACGTGCTCCACCCTCGCCCCGAATCTCTGGAATTCCCTGCCTCAATCCTTCCACCTTATCCTCGCTTTTCCCAACTTCAGATCACACCTGAAGAACTTCCACCTCGCCCGCGCCTACAGTCACTTCTGTTCCTCTTTGGCCCAATGTCAGATTTGCAGATCAGTGTGATATTCTTCTAGTTATGGAAAATAATCCCCACTCAAGTTTTTTTATTAGAAATCAATGCACATCAGCCGGCTTTCTGTGGGCATGCACAGTGAATGCAAAAGCACTGACTGTCAACCACGCTCGATAGAAGGTAGATTGGAATTTTATGTCCCAAACTACCACCTTATAGCAGATTCTACTTTAGTACCCGACCTTGAATTAAGCCTATCCAGAGAGCCTTATTTTTGGTTCCTAATCAAAAGAATGTTAAAAAGATCTAAATCTCATTTCAACCAGCTGCTCTACTAGAGGAGCTGCAGGCTGTAAGAATATAAATGAGGTTATTCCTGACCAAGCAGAAGGTATAATAGCATGTACGCAAAACACGAATTGCGTAAACATCATTTATTCCCCGAAATACCTCCCCTCCTCCTTTTAGTTAAACGTATAAGGTTGAGGGAGGCAGGGAAAGGTAGAGGGGAGAAAGAAGATATCAAGAAAGCAGAGTAGTTTAAAAATTTCAAAACTGAATACAATTAATATTAGAAATCTCTACCATATATTCAAATTTAATTTAAAGTCATCCACATTTGATACTGTATTGATTCATTCATAAAAAAATGCAGATTGACACAACATAAAAAAGTAGCTTCAAGATTAAGACTCCACGATTAAGTAAGACCATCCCAACTAGAGCATATATAAAAAAGCAAAGAAATTTGGAATCTACATGCAATCACTCTGTGCAATTGGGATGTTCAAAATCCATCTGCAGAACAAAGCCATAACCTACATAATACTAACAAGACACAGTGCAGGAGATTAAACGCACAATGTTGGATCTCATGAAAGTGAAACCACTTTAATGATTTAAAATGTACAGAGGACAAAAGGAATTCCCCAAAGATTAACTGTAGAACAGGCTCCACCATCGTTAATCATCTCACGTGAATGTCATCGTGCATCATAGGCATGAAGTGTATTCATCACTAACATCCACACCACCAGCTGCTGCTGCTGTCACATCAAATGCAGAACAAAAACTCTCACACAGAACTGAAAAGATAGATTATAATAAAAGGATACTGTGGGACAATTTCAAGGATGCAAGTCTGTATGGTTCACATGACTTATGAACCACTGGGTATTTGTGCTCAGATTTGGAATGCCCACCTAACCTTTAATTTTAAAATGTTCCATTATTCACATATGAAATCAGCCAATCTCTGCTGGTAAGCATGCTGTCTGTAGCAGGAAATGTTATAACAAACCCTTACCTCAGCTATTGGAGGCTGCCCAGATGGCTCACTTAAAAATGGCATAGCACGGAATGAGACATCAGACTCTCTTGGTTGAGCCTGGGCAGAAGCTGAAGAAGGCCGTGGTGCTGGGGGAGATTTATTACCAGTCATCCTCCGACTTCTTTCTGTAGCAATCTGGTCTCGAATTCTTTGCAGATTTTCTACGGAAGCATTTTTGGGAAACACAAGATGGGTTTCATCCTGCAAGGTCAAAAAGAGCATCAACAATCAACATTGCAATGTATTATTTGAAGGTCGATGTGTAATTGCAGTTTCTTTTCAAAATCGGATGAATTTGTATTCTAGCAGTTAGCACTTTTCCAGGATCAGGGGATTCCAAATTGTCTCTTAAGCTGTCCAAGGAGCCTTCTGCTGTTAAACTTAATGGAGTTTCTCTGCTTAAACCCCATGTCAGGACTTGGAATTATACAATGTAGCCTCAGCTGACACCCCTAATGCATTCCTGGGGGGTGTTTCATTGTCAGAGGTGCAGTCTTTCTGTTGAGAAGTTAAACGAAGGTCCCGTCTGCCTGGTTAGGTAGACGTTAAAGATCCCATGGAACTATTCAAAGAGACTTTCTTCCAGTATTCTTGCCAATGAATAAAACTGGTCACTGACTCCATGATTGTTTGTGGGACATTGCTGTGCCCAATTGGCTGCCGTGTTTCACCCACAAAACTCACAATCAATCCACTTTACTGTTAACCTGTGAAGTGCTTTGAGATGTTCCTCTGCCACCTCACACCATATGAAAGGCACCATATTAAATGTAATGTCAGCCCCAGAAAGCTGTAGAGGGACAGTCGGATACAAAAAGGGCATTTGGATTAAAAGATCTGCCAACATCTAATAAACTAGTGGAACAGGCTCAATGACCTCCTCATGTTCCTGTATTTCTATCACTTCAATTTAAAAAGTCATACTATACCTCTTGAAATCCCATTTCGAAGAGACATTCGACCGCTCCCTTGACTGGTAGCAGTCTGGTGGAAAAGGCTGGGTTCGCTATCTTAATCGATCGGTATTTGTCTTCATTTGGGTTTCTGTCATACACAAAATACATTGTTTGATACCTTCAGTAGTTTATCAAATGCAGATATCTTCCTAACTAGATTTTTGATGAGATCCCACCGTAGGAGAGCAGAACAAAGCTTTGAAATTTACTCATGGCTGCAAATAAATCAACCAGACACAACCGTAACAAGGATATTCATATGAATTGAACACTTGTTGAGAGCACAAGAGATGGAACATTTGAGAAGTCAACAAGCTAAACATAAATTTTTCGTAGAGTCTAACTTTCAATTTACACGACAGTGACATTTTTATTTTTACCCTTCTCACGATTAAACTCTAAATTCAGTCTAGGTTGACACTCGAATGCAGTGCTGGGACTGGATTGTATTGACAGCGGCGCCATCCTTCAGAAGAGATGTTAAAGGAGATTTTGTCTGCCTGCTCAGGTGGACATTAAAGATCCCATGGCACTATTTGAAAAGCGAAAAGTGTTTCCCCCTATGACATGGCCAACAATCCTCCAACTAAATTAGTCACTCACTTCATAGGCATTTTTGGGACATTACTGTGTATAAATTTACTCCTGCATTCTCCTATAAAATATACGATCACCAAACTTCACAGTAAATCCTCTGAGGGGCTTTGAGACATCCTCCCAACAACAAAGGTCTTACATCAAATGCAAGCATTATTAAATTACAAAATACTACCACCTCCAGCAAGTCAAGAACGTACAAAGTCACACCATGTCTAGTGCAAATGGTACTCAAATGATGCACCCCGCTACTAAAAAGCATGTATAAGTCTTCTTTTCAGTCAGAGCAACTTACACAATTCAACTGGAACATTTACCCACACTGGGACAAAATTCTGATTAAAGTATTTTAGGTATAAAATCTCCAGAGTTTAATGCTGTAAATTAGCAGGAATTCACACAAGCTCAAAAGCTATCATTACGGGAACAAGAAAACATTAGGCAACGCATTACAATATGTAGAATTCAAACACCACATGGTGAACTGTTAAGATTGCTGAACATTGCTCATCTAGATTTAGTTCCAAGACTAGGAAACAGCTGCACTATACAAACAGCAAGTCACAACACAGTGTGCAGTTCCATTCTCTGAATACCCTTCATTAAAAATATTCTGATCCATGTCAGACACTATTTTTAATATACAGCAGAACCACAGGCAAAATGCTTATTTAAATTTATTCGGATTGCCTTTTCCCTCCCAATCACAACAGTGCATCAAGAGCACATGAAGAGGTGGAACTGCTGTCTCAGTAAGGTTTCTACAACGGGTGATGAATTATACAAAATGAACTAAAAAGAGGGTGCTTCATTAGAGTAACTGTTTCTATCCAGTCTGAAGGCCATAAATTTTATTTTTCATAAATTTAGGTTTCATAAATTACACAAGGGATTTGAAGAATAGGTTTTGAGGCAGTCATTTTATCAGAGTGTAAGCATGCTCAAATATGTTAGATTTTTTCAACAGACCTCATCAAAATATAAATTGCAGTAAACCTGAATTTCAAAGAACGCTTTGTAGTTGAGCATTATCAATCAGTTCACAATTTTTAAATATTAGCTTTAAATCTACAAGCCTCTATCCTTAAATAATATTTGCCAAAGTGGATGCTCTAGATATAAATTCACATGTTTATAGATCCACATAGTTACAACCTTAGATATGCATGCATTAATAGTCACATTACCACGGTATAAAAAAAATTCTTGTTACGGCATCTTGAAAAAGGTTAGATTTACACTTGGGACATCCTCCCAACAAGAAAGACACTTTATAAATGTAAATCTGTGTTGTATATTTTAATAAAAGCTGGAGTTCCAGAAATATGGTGCGCACTCTGCAGCCTTCTTCTATTTTTTGTTGCAGGGTACATTGTATATTTCAGTCTCATAACAAACATTAGAAATATATTTCTCACTCACACATCAACACTCCTATTAATGCTATTAACAACTCCCACCAAAAAAATTAAGTTTGGTGAAAGACTATTTAAATAGCCTTTTGAATTACATAACGATATATTGTTTAAGCAAGAAAGCAGTTAAGGAAAACTAGTCTGCAGGAAAGTGGCACTGAATGGAACAGAGCACTGTACTCCTACCTTGAAATAAACAAATTCTCGCACAGTCAGAGGCCACTTGTCGAATCAAGACAAAAATTGTTAGTTCATCCAAAAGGACAATACGTTCTAATTCCTAATCCCTGCTCTTTCCCTTTATATTCTTCCTCTTCAAATCTTTAGCCAATTGCTTTTAAATTATGTTCTGACTCAGCTTCTTCAACAACCACTTGCAGCAAAGAATTCTATATTGATAACCTATTGACGCACAAAAATGTTTCTTCTAACCTCCCCCCTTAACTTCAAATGACAAATTATTTAGATCAATACAATTAATTCATTCTTAACAGGAAATATCAACAATATTCAAAGTATTTATTAAGACTAATTGTTTTAAACCAATCGTTTTCTGCTTTCCGACTACTATTTTTTCTAAAAATTCAATATTTATAGCCAAAGTAAAGCACTAAAACAGGGGGAGTTTGAACATCTGAAGGCATAGGAACACAATTCAACAAGCACAATATCCCAACTTTAATGTTACAGTGCATGTATCAAATAATAAATATAATAAGTAATCCTAGCATTTGATATAGCACCTGATCACATCTCGAAACGCTTCTTGCTGTCTTGTTTGACCTTCAACTGTCCTTTCTATCCTACATCCACGCCATGACCCGCTCTGCCTTCCCCCACATCGCCCGGCTCCACCACTGCCTCTCCCTTCAGGCTGCTCAAACCCTCGACTACACAAACTCCCTACCTGTGAGCCTTTCGAACACTTCCCTCCGCAAGATGCAGATCATCCAGAACTCTGTAGCTCGTGTCCTCTCCCGCACCAGGCTCTGTGACCCTATCACTATCACTACCACCCTCGCCCGATTCCACTGGCTCCCCTGAGGATAGAGTTCAAAATCATCGTCCTTACCTTGAAGGCCCTCCATGGCCTTGCTCCTTCCTACCTCTGTGACCTGCTCACCCCATATCAACCTGTCCACTCCCTCCGCTGAGCATGCTCCGGCCTGCTTCATGTCCCCCACCATCGGCGCTCAGGCCTTCAGCTTCTCTGCCCCCACTCTTTGTAACTCCATCCAACAGTCCCTTCATCTTGCTCCTTCTATTGCCCTCTTCAAAGCACGTCTCAAGACCCTCCTTTTCGACCGTGTATTCATTTGCTCACCCTCCTATCCCCACCCTCGCTGCCCTCCGCCACTCCTGATCCCAGCCCCCTGCTCGGGTCCACATGCCTGACTGCTCAGCGCCTTGGGACATCCTCCTGACCTGAAAGGCGCTATATAAATGTCATTTGTTGTCATTTGAGACATCTCAAAACGCTTTACAGAATATATTTTAAGTGGAGTGACTGTATATATTGTAGGCGAAACGCGGCAGCCAATTGCGCACAGCAGTGCCCCACAAACAGTTGTGGATTGAGTGACCAAATTATTATTTAATTTTTTTTTGAAGGGATTATTACCCCCGGAAAAGCAATCCGCCAATCGACTAACAACAAACGTATATAGTCTTCTAACTACAATCATAATGGGACAACAAACATTAAAACAAGGTCCCATGGCACTTTTTGAAAAAGAAATTTCTTCTGATGTCCTGGCCAACAGTCTCCCAGAGAAATTTGTACATTCAGTGGTTGTTTGTGGGACACTGTTGTGCACAAACTGGCTGCCTCATCCGCCCGCAGTCAAAAAAAACTTTACAGTCAATCTCAAGAAGTGTTTGAGACACCCTGACATTGTGACAAATCTCTATATTGATTATTCCAATGCCTTCCTCACCGGTGTCCCCAGCTTTGCCATTCATAAAATCACTCGGCCACTGTTAAGTACTCCAAGACACTGCCCCTCATGAAGAGTGCTATATAAATGCAAGTTGCTGTGTAACAATTGCAAGGATTATTAATGTTACCAGTTAATACTGAAGAGGGAAAGAAAAGGAAATAAAAGAGATTCACATTAGAGACGTGTGTCTGTGTGAGCAACTGGCCAGGTATCGCTGAAACAAATGGGTCCATTCCCCACCAAATCATCTTCTCTATGCCCGGGTTAATGAAGAATTTGGTTAGTTTCCTTAAGCAGGGTTTCTGTGGAAGATTTTTTTCCCCCCTCCAACTTTTCATTTAAAATAGCCAAACATCTGTACTGCCTGTCAGTTCATTGAGCAATAATAAAGGACACTTGTCACTCCTGCATTCATTTAGTAATAATCTTTGCATTTGATATAGCATCTTATCATGTCTTCAAGAGGAAGTTGTGCAGCATCTCCTCCATTAATAACCCTGATCTTAGCAGAGTCGCACAGCACTAGAAACAAGTCCTCGATAACCAAATAATGTTTTCATAACTGCAAGGGGTTGGTCCGCATTACTGCAGATAGAGCACATTCCGCTATATCATATATTTGGTACATAGAGCGGTAGATAATAAAAATAATCCTTGCATTTGATATAGCGCTTTTCACGTCTTCTCGACATCTCAAAGCGCTTCACAGAATAGACTGTAAAGTGAATTGACTGTATATTTGTGGGTGAAACGCAGCAGCCAATTGCACACAGCAATGTCCCACAAACAGTCATGGATTGAGCGACCAATTTATTTTTTGAGAGAGATTATTACCAGGCATGTGGAGTAAGGAAACTTGCCCAAGGTTTCGCCCTGCCGGGAATCGAACCCAGGTCTCTCACTTGCAAAGCGAGTGCTCTAACCACTGAGCTACAGGACATCAACTATGGAGTAGAATATCCAGCATGTATGCAAATACATTTAAATTCTGCATATTGCTTGCATCTTGTGACACACCTCTTTTGCAAACAGTCATAAAACAGTCAATGGTAATGATTTAATACATTGTCTGGACCTATTTTGTTATTAATAAGTTGCAGAAGCGGCAATGAATTGTAGGCTGAAATACCATGAGCACATCCATTAAAGTATCAAACTATTCTTTTGATAAAAAGTAATTTTACCAAGCGAACTTCAGATAAGATTTTTAAAAGAAACACTTAATCTAGTTTCCATTACAACACCCATTTATAATTCCCTACACACAATGGCACAATTAACAATTAACACAATAGATGTTAATAAGTCACAACGAGTTCAAAGCAGCCCTAATGGCACATTAAATTACTTTGGTCTTTGAATCTCAACTGCAATTACAAAGAATATTTCAGCCACAAAACTTGAAAAATGCCTTCTTCAGCCTACATGCATCACCAAAAAAAAAAAATGGTGAATGTTTTAACAAACTGTTTTTCTTTACAAATGACAAATCCATTCTGGGAAGCTTACTTGCAACAGCCTTTTGTACTGTGATCACAACTGAACCATTCTCCACATTAGTGCAGATAGTGGAGTCCTGAAACTCAGTGGTTAGAGCACTCGCTTTGCAAGCGACGCACCTGGGTTCAATTCTAGGCAGGGCGAAACCTTGGGCAAGTTTCCTTACTCCACACGCCTAATAATAATCCCTCCAAAAAAACAAAACAATAATAAATTGGTCATTTTCAATCCATGACTGTTTGTGGGACACTGCTGTGCGCAATTGGCTGCCGCATTTCGCCCACAAATATACAGTCAATTCATTTTACAGCATATTCTGTGAAGCGCTTTTCACGTCTTCTAGACGTCTCAAAGCGCTATATCAAATGCAAGAATTATTATTATACTACAATAGCAGCACAATTTCCAAGCCATCAACAACTGGCGAGTGCTGCATGATGCACTGTACAGCTTCCATTTTTCAGCATCCCAGTAATTGACTCATAACAGCCTTCATCTGCCGCAGCTGTGTTTTTTTTTGGAGCGCCTCCTACAGCATTGCCAGAATGTGCCTCACAATAAAGAGCACAAAATTAGTTTAAAATAAATAGGAAGCCATGAGTATTAAACAGCAAAGCAGAGTGGACAGGTCAAATAACCTACACCTGTTGTTGTGGTCTTTATTAGAACTAGTTTCCACAATAGCCAACTGTAGGACATCAGCTGCAACGCTTGGTTCAGCAGAAAAAGCTACTTCTTACTTAAAACACATTCATAAAAAGCCTTAATGAGAGACTGAGGAGACTGGGTTACTTTACGTAGGGCAGAAAAGATTATGGTGTCATCTTATTGAGGTATTCATACAATGGTGGGGCATACGATTAAAAGATCTGCCAAAATCCCAAACTGGTGGAGCAGGATCAATCGGTTGAACGGCCTCTTCCTGGTTTCCTATGCTGCTATAAGTATCAAAATGGTAAGCCACTCAAAAAGTTCAGTTCATTATATTAAAAAGTTGCTGCTGATAATTTTATGAATTAAAACTGCACAGAAATAAAATTGATCAATCGAAAAACGGTTTCCCCTCAGGATATAAAGTATAGAACTTCTATAAATAACAATCTAGACATTAAGAGTGAGACAGACATCTTGATTATCATAACTTCAATTCAGGGATACACTAAGACACGACAAGCTACCGGCAGCTATCAAGCTACCGGCCCATCTCCAACCTCCCCTTCCTGTCCAAGGTCCTGGAACGAGTTGTTGCCTCCCAACTGCGCTCTTTCCTCTCCACCCATTCACTATTCGAACCCCTTCAGTCAGGTTTCCGTGCTGCCCATAGCACAGAAACTGCCCTGGTCAAGGTCACCAATGATATCCTGACCATCTGTGACCAGGGCTCCCTCTGCCTCCTCGTCCTCCTCGACCTATCGGCAGCATTCGATACGGTTGACCACGCTATCCTACTCCACCGCTTGTCCTCCCACCTCAACCTTCAAGGCACTGTCCTTGAATGGTTTAGGTCGTACCTTTCTCACCGTCTTCACTTTGTCTCCACGAATGGCTTCTCCTCCACCCCCCGTACTGTCTCATGTGGTGTCCCTCAGGGCTCTGTCCTTGGTCCCCTCCTCTTCACCCTCTATATGCTCCCCCTCGGTGACATCATCCGCAAACATGGGGTTAACTTCCACATGTATGCGGATGACACCCAACTCTACCTTTCCTCCTCTACCCTCAACTCCACGACCACCGATGTCCTGACAGTCTGCCTGTCTGCCTCTCCACCTCTCAAAGCCATCAGGAACCTCGGCGTTTTGTTCGACCCTGAGCTGTCCTTTCTCCCTCATATTCGCGCCACAACTGGCACCGCCTTCCATCACCTCCAAAACATCGCCAGACTACGGCACTACCTCACCCCTCACGCGGCTGAAACCCTGGTCCACGCCTTCATCACCTCAAGGCTGGACTATGGGAACTCTCTCCTCGCCGGCCTTCCCGCCACCTCCCTCCACAAGCTGCAGGTCATTCAGAACTCTGCAGCTCGTGTACTGTCCCGCACCAGGCGTCGGGACCACATCACTCCCACCCTCGCTCGCCTCCACTGGCTCCCCATCCCCCAGAGGATCGAATTCAAGATCCTCATCCTCACCTACAAGGCCATTCACGGCCTTGCTCCCTCCTACCTCTCTGACCTACTATCCCCCTACCTACCTGCCCGTACCCTCCGTTCCTCTGGCTCCGGTCTGCTCCACATCCCCGCCCCAACCGCCCTACCATCGGTGGCCGGGCCTTCAGCCTCTCAGCCCCCAGGCTCTGGAACTCCATCCCCAGTGCCTTCGCCGCCTCCTCCCTCTCCTCCTTCAAGGCCGGTCTCAAGACCTTTCTCTTTGACCGTGCCTTCAGCTCCCCTCTCGACTCTCTACCCCCTCCTCGCTCCCTCCCTTCCCTCACCCTGACCATTTCCCCACTGCTCGGGTCCTGACCCAACTGTACAGCGCCTTGGGACGTCATCCCGACGTAAAAGGCGCTCTATGAATGGAATATTGTTGTTGTCCGTGCAGATACTCTTGCACGTATCAAATATGAGGTATTATGTAATTTCTGCAACGTAAAGGTTTAATTTTCTAGTAAAAATGTCTAGTGTTCACAATGGCTTGATACCAATGAAAAGAGATTGATGTTGGTATTCTGGAAGAATGAGATTAAATAATCTGAAGGATCTTTACCAAAGCTTTCACTAAAAATTTACCAGCTCTTAAAATTTTAAAAAAGTCAACACTCAATCTGGTTAGCAGCACTACATGAATAATAATCCTTGCATTTGATATAGCACTTTTCACGTCTTCTAGACATCCCAAAACGCTTCACAGAATAGACTGTAAAGTGAATTGACTGTACATTACAAATTGCAAAACCTAAACATTTGGCTACAGTGACCCCATACTGTTATCAACGAGAGGCATCACCCTCACAAGCAGTTTAACAACTTTACAATCACCAGAATTCACCTTCAAAAGAAAGATATGAATAAAGGCCCTTCAGCCTTTTCATATCCTTCTGAAATATACGCCTGACTACCATCCCACAATAGCTTTGAGTAGTTTCTTCAATGACTCACGTCTTGGCCTCAACCACCCTCCTGGTAACCCATTCCAGCCATTAATTACCCTTTGTAAACAAATATTTTCTGGTGCACGTCCTTACATTGCTCTTTGCAATCATGAACACCTCTTCTCCTGCTGTATTAGTTTCACTGAAGGTATTGGAAATCACTTTTTCTCAAAATCCTTTCACTTTACTATTCTTCTCCTTTGCTTAAAGCACTCTATTTGGTCGATAACCTTAAGTATTTCTTCTTTCCCATCATCTCTGAAGCACTTTCAAATACAGTATTTTATTCAAAAGCCGCTATTCAAGTGCAAATTAGCTCAACCTTTAATTTGGGGGATGATCCAGGTGGTTCCCTCCCCTCTGCCCGGGTCTCCACAGCACAACTCGAGCACCAGCCTGGGGATCTGAACCACTGGGATTTATCCCACAAAACAGTCACACCAATGACAAGGAAAAAAATGACGTGGACGCTCAACGACTTGATAAAGGATTATTATATATTATATTAATATTATTGTATGATTGAACAAGACAAAATGAGGATTATTATACAGTATATTAATTATTGCATAATCTTTGCCTTGGACCAGCATCTCAATCCAAGGTTGAAGAGCCTGACCTTACCTAACCACAAGGTCAGTAATACTGTATTGTAATAATATATTATCATAATAATCAAGTCCTGAAGTCCTGTAGCTCAGTGGTTAGAGCACTCGCTTTGCAAGTGAGAGACCTGAGTTCAATTCCAGGCAGAGGGCGAAACCTTGGGCAAGTTTCCTTACTCCACACGCCTAATAATAATCCCTCCACAAAATAAATTGGTCATTTTCAATCTACGACTGTTTGTGGGACATTGCTGTGCGCAATTGGCTGTCGCGTTCGCCCACAAATATACAGTCAATTCACTTTACAGTGTGTTCTGTGAAGCGCTTTGAGAAGCCTCGAAGACGTGAAAAGCACTATATCAAATGCAAGGATTAGTATTATTATTATTATCATCAACAACACCACATATTAGTGGAATCCCAGACACACAGAGAGAGAGAGAGAGGAGGGATTCACCACAATCTCAGCCCCAAGTAAAAGCTTTTCTTTTAAAAAAAACACAAACCGTGGGTTTGGCCACGTAACCGCCCGCACGGCCCTCCCTCGCCCGTTCATAAAAGGTGAACCAATAAAACGAGGAGCCGCCCGCCCGCCCGCACCTCAGGATGTTGTCCGCGTAAGTCAGCAGCAGCCGCGCCGCGTCCATGAAGCGCTCGTCGGGGTTGTCGCCGAGCGCGTTCACCGCCTCCGACACCATGGCGGCTCCGGGTCACTATCCGTCGCCTGACCCCTGGCTCGACAGCGTCCTGCGTACGAGAAAGGTGTGAGGCCGCCAGGAGCAGTGAGCGAGAGAGAGAGAGAGAGAGAGAGGGAGCAGTCTGGGAGCTCAGGCGGGGCCCAGCCGCCTCCTTCCTCTTCCGGAAGTGCTTCTCCAGTCCTCCGAGCGAGAGGAAGCGGCGCGGCTCTCGGCGCCGGCCCGCTCGCCCTGCCTGCCCTGCCTGCCGGCCCGGCCGCTCTTTGGTGTCTCGGAGCCACCGCCCCTTTGTGAAGTCACGGGCCGCGCCCTCCGGTGACAGTTGTCCGGGTTGCGCGTGCGCACAGGTGAGGTGAGTCAGGTGAGCCCTGTCCCAGCCCGGGGGGGGGGGGGGGGGAGACGTCATCATCAGCCACTCCACAGGGCTCTCACCTGCTGTGCGGTTCCAAACTTTCCCTTTTTTTATTCAATTTTTTTTCCCTTTTTATTGCAGATTTTTTCCCCTTTTGAAGAAAAAAATCTCCTTGTGCACTTTTCTCAAACCCACCGCCGCCGTCGCGCTCACAACACCATAGAGATCTACAGCAAAGGAGAAGGAGAAGGCCGCCTGGACCACTGTTTACCTGTCTGTTCCCGAGCCCTGTAATATAATAATAATAATAATCCTTGCATTTGATATAGCGCTTTTCACGTCGGGAGGACGTCCCAAAGCGCTTCACAGAACACACTGTAAAGTGAATTGACTGTATATTTGTGGGCGAACGCGGCAGCCAATTGCGCACAGCAATGTCCCACAAACAGTCATAGATTGAAAAGGACCAATTTATTATTTTTGTTTTTTGGAGGGATTATTATTAGGGCTCTGTGTGGAGTAAGGAACTTGCCCAAGGTTTCGCCCTCTGCCTGGAATTGAACTCAGGTCTCTCACTTGCAAAGCGAGTGCTCTAACCACTGAGCTACAGGACTCTACAACTTCCATTTACTTCCTTTTTTGGGGTATGTATCTAAATTGTCTGCTTTTGAAAGCGAATATGGATTCTGCCTCAATCACCGCTCCCAGCAGAGCATTCCGTATTCTAGCCACTCAGCATGAAATAAGTTTTCCTCACCTCCTCATTTGCTACTATTGTAAATTCATGCCCTTTAGTCACTGACACAATGACAACTGGAAATAATTTCTCCCTGTCGACTATCGAAACAACTCATAATGTTAAAGACCTCAATCGGGTCATCCTCTCAATCTTCTTTGTTCCAGTGGAATGAAGTCCCAGTTCCTCCAGTCTCTACTCATTGGATAGACTATTGTATCAAATAATAATAATCCTTGCATTTGATACAGCGCCTCACAGAATATACTGTAAAGTGAATTGACTATATTTGTGGGCAAAGCGAGGCAGTCAATTGCACACAGCAGTGTCCCACAAACAGTTGTGGATTGAGTGAACAATTTATTATTTTTTTAAGGGATTATTATCCCCGGGTATTACCCTACTTGCTGCTAAGTAAACAGGCGTGTGGAGTAAGGAAACATGCCCAAATCGAATTGCCGGGAATCAAACTCAGGTCTCTCGCTTGTGAGGCGAGTGCTCCAACCACTGAGCTACAATACAATTGTTGTGTTTCACTAACAATTGAATAAAGGAATGAATGATTAGGGTGACAAAGCCCCTCTTTATCCTCTAAAATAAGTTTCTTCCAATTCCAAAATTGTTGAGTCTGACTGTAACCTGAACCCACATCCTCAGGCCTCATCAGAATTTGACCTCTTCGTCTCAGCTGACACTCCGGTGGAAAGCCTGGGAAGTGCAGCATTGTCAGAATGGTCATCCTTCGGATTAGACACTGAGGTCCCACCTGCCTGTTCAGATTATACTATTTGAAAAGAGAAGAGCTTTTCACCAGAATCCTGGCCAAGTATCTCCAGATAAATGTGTCTATGATTTTATTGCTGTTTGAGGGATCTGTGTGTGTAAATATGTTGCTATGTTTGCCTGCAAATAAACAATCACTACACGCAACAGAAATTACTTGTAAAGCACATTGAGACATTTCAACAAGACAGACTATAAATGCAAGTGCAAATATTATTACTTGTATTTATTCAAACATAAGTATTATTATTTGTTGTGGATCAGGAAATGGTGATAATGAGTTTCACTGACATCAACAGGATGATGTGGGCCTTAACTCCATAGACTTATTTGGTTCATGTGATTTCAGTTTTATTTAATAAGGGTACTCTGTTATTGGGAACACTTATATAATGAGTCTTAGGTTACAGAAAATGCAGTTAAATTAAGGCCATATTCTCATATATTAGTAATATTTTTCTTAGTACATTTTCTAATATGGCTATACGACCAGACTTTGCTACTTACATGCTGTAAATGCACTTTTTGGACTTTGACCAGAACAGCATGAGTTTCTCTGTGATGCTTCCAGAATTGAGTTCCTGCCGGATAATCATTGTCTAGGCTCATACACAAGGAGTGTTCAATTCAGGTCTGTAGTACTTGTGCCATCATAGTCTGCAACTTATTCAGCATCTTTTTTGGGGGGTTGGGGTGGGGTTGGCAAACATAATTCCGGAGGAAGATTGGCTGATAGGACATTTCTTTCATGCCCTTCTGTGGTATTCTCACTTTTGGTGAGCAATCTGCATTGGCTATAATGCTTTGTGCTAATGAACATGTGGATCTGATTACAAACAAACCATTTCTTCTACAGATGCACATTGTGACACAGTTCTTAAAATAGCACTGAACTTGGTGGCTGGTTGGCACAGTGTGTGGTATTGAAGTGCATAATGCCATAGAATAATTCAACGCAGGTTTGCATCTGCAATTCTCCACACAGTGTTAACTTAATTTTGGCATTGTTGTTGAGTTACTGAGCAGAAGTCAGAGATCTCATTATGAGTGAAAACAAAATCATAAGTTGTCACCTGGAGCCTTTCATGAACACCCAAAGAGCTGACTCTAAAATTATATAGAGCAGGGCAGAGAGCCCTTCGACCACTACACCCCACTCTTTGCAATTCACTCCCAAACTCATTTGGCTTTGCTCTTTTTCTCTCTATATTCAGAACTTTCCTAAAGATCTGTCTCTTTGACCACAACTTTAAATTCTCTTCCTTCTCCCCCCACTCAAAGCTCTCTATTGGCTCTTCGAAACTTTCATCGTATGCGAAAGTGCAACTTGTTGGCTGTTATTTTAGTAAAGGGATGGGAGCACATCTGCTAACCTCCAGCAGATGTATTGAGGAATGGTGTGGTACATGACCCAACATACCACATCATGAAGACATAAGCAAAACTAAAGAAAAAACTAAATATAAACAATTTGGAACTGATAGTTTTGCTGAACCCTGATTTATTTCAAGTAAGCATATGTTAAGGAACGCCATATTTCTATGTTTCATCCTTAAGCTTGAGTTCATAAGTAGAGAATGGGTGTATTGTGTGCGAAGGCAGCATTGTTTTTGACCCTGAGAGTAATCAATCTCTGCTTTGCTTTTGCAGCGGTAGTTTTGGATTTCCATGAACATTTCTGGCCTTTGATCTTCAAACAAGTGTGTTTCACTCGTGAAGATCTTGTAATATGTTACCTCAAAGAAAACCACTGCCACTGAAACTTTTACACTCTCTTCTCTTCAACCCCAAACATGCAAGTGCAAATTGGAACACAAGACATCTCAGCAACACAGCCCCTCCACAAAGACGAGTTGTCATCACTGGGCTCGGTTTGATATCTCCCCTCGGAGTCGGCACTCAGCTTACATGGAATCGAATCCTGAAAGGGGACGTGGGCATTGAGGCTCTGGAGGGAGCGGAATATGAAGAGATGCCATGCAGGGTAGCTGCCTTGGTGCCTCGCGGTGTTGGGGAAGGAGAATTCAATGAATATTCATTTGTCTCAAAATCTGAAGCAAAGTCCATGTCAGACTCCACAATAATGGGAATAGCAGCGGCAGAACTTGCCCTCAGAGATGCTGGCTGGTGGCCGCAATCTGAGAGGGAGCAGTGTGTCACTGGCGTAGCTATTGGCATGGGTATGGTTCCCCTCGAGGTGGTTGGTGATGCTGCTGTGCTCCTCAAAACAAAGGGATATAAAAAAGTGAGCCCATTTTTTGTTCCCAAGATACTTATTAATATGGCAGCTGGACACATCAGTATCAAGTATAAACTCAAAGGGCCAAACCATGCTGTTTCGACAGCCTGCACGACAGGGGCACACGCTGTCGGTGATGCTTCAAGATTTATCCTTCACGGAGATGCTGAGGTAATGCTGGCTGGAGGAACGGAGGCTTCTGTCAGCCCGTTGTCCCTGGCCGGTTTTGCCAGAGCACGCTCGCTCTCAACCAGCTTCAACGCTAATCCCAAATTGGCTTCACGGCCCTTCCACTCTGAGAGAGAAGGTTTTGTGATGGGAGAGGGGGCATCAGTGCTGGTCCTAGAAGAATACAAGCATGCTCTGGAGAGAGGCGCACAAATCTATGCAGAAATACTGGGTTATGGGCTCTCTGGGGATGCCGGACATATCACAGCTCCCAGCCCCAATGGGGACGGAGCATTCAGGTAATTGTTACTCTTCTCTTTCAGGCTAAAGTTTGTTTATACAGGCTTTCGATGACAGGCCACTGGTGGAGTTTGGGGAAATTGATCCTAAAGAATTTCTTCAGTAGAGTGAGGAGCCTCTGGATATGATCCTTGAGGGAATTCTCATCTACGGTTTCTAGACTCCAATTGCAATGTTTACTGTATTCTGCAAAGCAGAAGGTCATTTGGCATGTAGTCCCTCTGCCGGCCTTCTGAAAGACTTATTGATTTGTCCCATTTTCTTTTCCTTTTCTCAATAACTTTTTATATTTTCCCCTTCTCAAATATTTGTCTAATTCCCTTTAAGGAGAACGAGTTTTCACGGTGTTGGGATATGAACCCATGGCCCCCAAATGAGTAGGGTTAAATCCAGTGGTCTTAGACTATTCAACTACACTACTCCAGTAGGCTTTCTTATTGTAAAATATAACCATGATTGAAAAGATCACTCTTAAAAGAGCCAGCACAGACACGATTGGCCATGGCCTTCTCCTGTGTTGTAAATTTCTAGTTAGGATTTCTCCCCAATAGTGTTTTAGAAAAAACACTCAGCGCCTGCCTATTGAGTCACCTCGTGTCTAAAACTTGTTCCCAATAGTTGATGATGTTTCCCAATGATTGGGGATCTGAATTATTTACTTCCAAGCACTTAAGGTAACTTCACATGTTGAAATTTGTGCATCTGTGCAGTGAGTTTATCCTGAAGTAAAACTGACCATCTGGAGCTCGTAATAATTTCTAAGCCCTACAGTATGTTTTACATCACAACATAATGTACAAAAACACATGTGCACCACTAGATGTAGACAATACACCTAAACCGAGATCACTACCAACCCCAAATTCATCAGCGAGACTTGGTTTGTAATTGAAACAATGGCAATCAAACTATCGTTCAGCATCTTTTAGATATTAAACAGAAATTGGAAACTCAGCCACAAACAAAGAGAACCACTGTGCCATACTGAACGCAGCAGATCTGTAACAGATGGATTTCTGGGGACATCCAGGGTATTGGTCGTCAAACAGCAGGGGCCCTGACCTACAGGCAATTAACTCTTAAGTTTCATTCAAATAAAAATGTTGCTGGAGTCAGGGGAAGAGAAACAATGATCTATTTTCAACAATGCTGTCATGGAATCACTGGAACAGTCCAGATATGATAAATACAATAACAGCAGATCACATTTAAGTAGCACATTTAGTGACATTTTATTTTATGTCCACTCAACATGGACTTTTGAAGCAACTACAATAATTCTATAGTTTTTGCACTAAGTCCAGAAACGTGCTTAGTTTTCATTGAAGAATGATTGGTATTTCTACATAGCTCCTGCTGCTCAACAGATGTGTGTTTTATGGTTTCACTGCGTAATGTCCATTACGTAGTTGAGATATTAATGTCATAAGAAAGAAAAAGGTTGGAAAAAGTTAAAATTGGCAGTTTTAAACTGAACCTCTCATTCCTCTGAGGAATGATTTTTCACAACTATAATATTGCATCAATTTGTGCAACATTTTCTTGAATCTGATTGCAACTTTATGTACAATGTGTCTGAAATCCATTGATTTGTCGCCTGTCTATGCACAAAGCGTTTTCCAGTGGGAGAGTGAGCAATCTCCTCTTCAGTCTCTGTCAATGTTACTGCAGGCAGCCACAATACAATACAAAATTGCATTTGTACAGCGCCTTTCAGGTCGGGAGGATGTCCCAAGAGGAGATGCCTGACTTCAACAGCTCATAGGCACAAGGTGACTCAATAGGTTGGGCCTGAGCACTTTTACAATTGATGCGTTCCACAGCAAAGCTGAGATTGGGAACTCAGTGGAGTGAGGGTGGAATCAAATGGGAGGGATGGAAACCAAACCAGAATCCTAGCTATGCTCCATGATATCCAGTGAATAATGATCAGTATTTCTATGTAGATTTTTATTGACTATTACTCAATATTTCTGATTTTTTAAAAAAAAAGTTTTACTTTGTTACAGTTATCACTCCTTGGCACCATACAGTGATGAGCCATGTCAAACTTCCATATCAAGCTCCCACTGTGTGTTAGCATGACGCCACTGAGTGTTAATGTACCAACAACAATTTACATTTTTGCAAGCAATTTTTAGCAGCGCTGCCTGCCTGTGCCTTGTGCAGGAAGTGATGTCTGTGGCAAACTTCCAACCTTTTAACAATTGATGCATAACAATAGGAATTTATTTTTACTTGGAGAAAATTAGAAAACCCAAGAATTGCAGATATTTAGCAATTAAAATCTGAAAGCGTCAACTTTAAGTATATTGTTGAAAATAAGTCTCAGCATGTCATCTTCCAGAACCTCAAAGTGGTGGAACCATAGAAAGTTACATCACAGAAGGACCATTTGGCCCATCGTGTCCGTGCTGGCTCTTTTAAGAGCAGTCCTTTCAGTCCCATTTACTTATATGCATGTGTCTCACATAACAGTTTACCTCCTGTAGTCACCCCTTCCTCCTAATATCCTTAGGGTTTTAAAACCCAAGCTTAGCATCACCTAACCACTAATTCTTAATTTATCACATTTCTACCCTTGTTCCACCAATTACTCAGACTTATTGATGTCTGCACTATGACCCTTGATATCAGATTTTTTTTAAAAAACAACTGTTTTACTTTGTTATAGTTCAGTATATTTAATTACACAGTCGTTTGCGACATTGATGGCTATTCACTATGTATTAATATCTTTGGGTGAAAAAACATTTTGTCACATGTTGAAGCTGCTACAGCTATACACACTACAGTACTATAGGGACATGTTTATCTTGAATTTGTTATTTTAATGCAACTGCACCAAAGCATATTCTCCTAATGGAGTTTAACCAGTTACTGCTGTGAGTTGCTGCAGGCAAAATAAAATCATTTCATTCAGAATTGAGTTAACAACTGCCAGCGCTGTCTCCCAGGGCATGCTGTAAGGCTGCTGACACGGCAGGAGTACGGAACAGTAGATCAGTACAGGGCTGGGGAACTGTGCTCAGGAAAACCCTTTCACAGCAAATCACATCAACGCACACTATATCATAAACACCGACTGACCTGCCTGCAACGCACTAAGATCATTCTCTTCCAAACAAGAGTTTTGTTTTGTAAATATTGATGGGTAGCACTTTTAAACAAGTGACCGAGTTACAGCGAGTGAAGCCTGTCTGTGCGTGAAGCTGCCTTTTGAACTCACGAGCTGGTCTACTGATACAGGTTCAGATCTGATTAATGTAATCTGTGGATAGACAGGTGGGTTACAAAACAGCCGCTGCTTCATCAAATTTTTAGCACAACGCATGTCAGACCACACTTTGTGACCTCCAGTTTTGAATTTTACTAGATTTGGTTCTGAAATGATGAGTAACACATTATTGGATATGTTTCTGCGTACCATAGTTAATTAATGATTTTGCTTGTTTCATTCCAAAGGGCTTGGAGCTTTAGGTGAATATCAGTTTGCCTTTATCTTCCTAATATATAATTTTTTTTTAAAAAACAGGTCCATGTCTGCTGCGATTAAAGATGCTGGGCTAAAGCCCGAGGATGTGACCTACATCAATGCACATGCCACGTCCACACCACTAGGGGATGCAGCGGAGAACCAAGCTATCAAGAGATTATTTGAAGGACATTTGCACTCCCTTGCTGTATCTTCCACAAAAGGAGCGACTGGCCACCTGCTGGGGGCAGCTGGAGCCATGGAGGCTGCCTTCACCGCTTTGGCCTGCTTTCATGGGCTGTTGCCTCCCACTGTGAACCTCAACAGCACAGACCCGAACTTTGACTTGAATTATGTCCCCATTACAGCCCAGGAGTGGAAAACTTCAAGAAGACGTATTGCACTAACCAATTCATTTGGATTCGGAGGAACAAACGCAACACTCTGTTTGGGAAGTGTATAAATTGTAGCATTATTAAAATAATGCCAAGTTCAGACTTGCATCACCAGGCCATCCGTTTAGACAGGTGGAATGACATGACACCTGGAACAGCATGAATTACCAAACAGGTTCCAGTAGCAAAAGTGTCCCAGTATAGCAGGTGCCTGACTGGCACAAGCACAGAGTATGTTTGTGCTACTGATCAGGACTGAATGAGGCCAAACCTGCTTAATATCATTAATTTGCTTATCTTTGAAAACTAGAGGCCTAATGAAGACAATTTTGTGTTAAAATTTAAGATTAACAATGATTGTGAAAAATCCTTAATTTCAATTCATAAAAAAAGGCTTCCAAATTAAAACTGAGTTTTAGAATTGTTTCACAATTCTGCACAATCTTAAATTTTAGGACAAAATCATCCTGCGGGTTCACAATAGTTAGAATTTCAGCCTGAATCAGGGAGCTAAGATGGCAAAAGATGATTTTCATGCTTTCTGGTCAATAAAAGAGCAAAGACTTGAGGGGCAAATAATGTTTACTTGTATGTATTTTGTGTGTCTGTTTGTGGAGGGGCTGAAGAAGATCTCTAGCTGGGTGAATCCTGCTTATGTCTGTGGTCATTGAAGACGGTAAGAATTGCAAAGTGCTTTAGTGGAAATAATATCAAAACAGAACATTGAGAATAATAATAATCCTTGCATTTGATCTAGCGCCTTATCACGTCTTTGAGACGTCTCAAAGCGCCACAGAGAATATACTGTAAAGTGAATTGACTATATAGTTTTGGGGCAAAATTCCAGAAGAGATAGAACAAGTGCCAGACATTCCTCCTGTCCTTAATTTTAGAAAAAATATAGATAGTGCCAACAAATAAAACGCCTTATGTTGAAATGTTGAAGAACTTTACTATGGACAGTAATGGCAGCCAATTTATGCACAGTATAGTTGTTGCAATAGGATGTCAGCCTGGCTTAGTTGGTAGCACTCTCACTTCTTCATTAGAAGGTTATTGATTCAAACCCCACAGGGAGACTTTGAACAGGTTGACTCCAAAACATGCTGGGGGAGCGCTGCATTGTAAAATGTCAGATAGATATTACCTGTTCAGATAGATATTAAAGATCCCTCGGCGCTGTTTATAAAGAAAAGGGAGTGTTTCCTAGTTGTCCTGGCAACCAGGTAATATTCCCCCAGACAAAAATGGTCATTCACTCCTGGCTGTTTTGCTGGCATCACTGTGCACAAATTAGCTGTTCACCAGAAATAAAACATATAGTCATTATACCACAGTAAATCTTGTGAAGCGCTTTGAGATGCCCTCCAGATGGGAATGGTACTAGGTCAAATCAAGAATTATTATGACAAACATCCATGAGTTTTTTTTGTATGGAGGATAGCTGGCCAAGAAACTAGAAGAAACTTGTCTTTTTAAACAGACTCATAGAATCTTTAATATTCACCTGAAGAATAAGCAGACAGAACCTCGGTTTAACATCTCATCCAAAGGATGGCACCTCTGGCTATCGGCTCTAATCCCATTAATAACCATGTGAGAATGACAATGTGTATACGTACTAATACTGTCCTGACACCCGAACCCACAACTCGGAAGAAGAGTGCTACCAATTGAGCTAATCTGACATCTCGACACAAACAAGAGACTTACATTTATCAGAAAGCTTATTTGATCTGAGTGCAAAGCAAACACATTAGGTAGCTAGTCTTCCCTGAACAAGGGAATTTGGGGTTATTGCGCAGCTTTTCAGGATCTCCTCTGTTCTAAATGTGTAACAGGATTCTCAAGCTTGCAGAATGGGATTCTAGCTTGAATAAATGATTTTGCCAGGCAGACACTCTCGCTCCCTCAGTGTTCTCGCAGTTCAATCTTAAACTGAAAAAGATCCCAAATGTCGCATTGTTCATTTATTGTTTCTGCCATGAGTGTTCAGTAACTCACACTTACCTTTATACACTTCTGACTGATAACAGGAAGATTTCAGCAAGAATTCCTAATGCTTTGGAACAAACAAACTATTTTTATTGGCATCATAAAACATTCCATTTGGCTAACGTGTCTTCAGTTGATTCTGGTTACTTTTGATTGTTATCCTGACATTTTTCTGAATGCAGATCGATTCACCAGAGAGTACTGAAAATTCTGTACATTTCTTAGAGCTATTACTAATTTAAATGTTTTCCTAACTCGCAGAGAGAATCTAATTCCGCACAAGTACATTGCCACTCTCCCATGGCTTATAATCGGTTTAGGCTACTGGTTTGTCAGCTCCTCCATCACAGTCCCCAAACACCAGTACGATGATGCTGCTTCCAAGAGGTGACTGCCACAGCATAGAAATCTCAGCTTGGTTTGGATTCTCTTAAGCATGGTGATGGGTTTCTGCATGTGTCAGACACTCAGCTGAACAAAAATAAGGGCCATAGAATCTTTCAGGTGTTAGGCTGCCAGGTGAGCAAAGCTATTGTGTTTGCTCCATGCAGACCTGTTATGTGGAAGAAAGGAAATGAAGGCACACATACAGAAATATTTGCAACCACAGCAGGTCAATCAGCAGTTGAAAAAGACACATTAAGATTCTGTGTAGGTCAAATATAAAGTAACTGAACATTATGTTAGAGACTGCTCACAATGCTGAGTAGAGGAGTTGTGGAGTCCTGTAGCTCAGTAGTTAGAGCACTCGCTTTGGAAGCGAGAGACCTGAGTTCAATTCCAGGCAGAGGGCGATACCTTGGGCAAGTTTCCTTACTCCACACAGAGCCTAATAATAATCCCTCCAAAACCAAAAACAATAATAAATTGGTCATTTTCAATCCACGACTGTTTGTGGGACATTGCTGTCGCAATTGGCTGCTGCATTCGCCCACAAATATACAGTCAATTCACTTTACAGTGTGTTCTGTGAAGCGCTTTGGGACGTCCTCCCGACGTGAAACGCGCTATATCAAATGCAAGGATTATTATTATTATTATTATTATTAGAGCACAAATATAATGTAACGCTATTAAGTTGGGACTCCCATGACAGCTCGAAATTTGGATCCCACGCGAATAAGCCAATCTGAAGTATATTACCATTCAGGACTTTAATCCCTCAGGCAGATATTTCATCACTGTCATTTGTTCAGTTTGTACCCACAGGAGGATTTAATTAGCTTTGTTCTATTACCAGGGAAAGCTATTAAATAAAATCAGAAATCCTCACACAACAAATGTTCCTTCCTTGCCCACTAGCTTGTTATTTTTCTCCACTTCACGTAAGTGTTTTTTAGATTTTCATTTCCATGACAAATTTGCACTTTTGTACTTAGAGCTATAGAACAGCTGAGAATTCTACATTTGTAAAGTACCTTTCACGTTGGGAGGACATCCCAAGGCACTGGACAGTCAGGGATTTGGACCCGAGCAGGGGGTTGGGATCAGGGGGAGTGGAGGGCAAGGAGGGTGGGGGCAGGAGGGTAGCCGAATGCGCGGTCGAAGAGGAGAGTCTTGAGTCGTACTTTGAAGGAGGCAAGAGAGGGAGCACGACAAAAGGGCTGTGGGATTGAGTTCCAAAGGGTGGGGTCAGAGAAGATGAAGGCCTGACCGCCGATGGTGGGGCGGGCCGAGTGGGGGACGTGGAGTAGGCTGCAGCCTGCTGAGCGGAGGAAGCGAGGATTTGAACTCCATCCTCTGGGGGATGGGGAGCCAGTGGAGACGGATGAGAGTAGGGGTGATAGGTCACAGAGTCTGGTGCGGGAGAGGACATGAGCTGCAAAGTTTTGGATGATCTGCAGCTTGTGGAGGGTTGGGAAGGCTGACAAGCAGGGAGTTAGCACAGTCAAGGCTCAATGTAATAAATAATGGATGAGGATTTCAGCAGCCTGAGGCGTGGAGGCAGTGATGGAGTTCGACGATGTTGCGGAGGTGGGGGAGGCAGAGCGGGTCATAGCACGGACTTGGAGAAGAAAGCATCTGAAGGTTAAACAAGAAGCCAATGTTCCAGACTGGCTTGGTGAGGTGGAGTGTGCATCCATGAATGGTGATGCTGTTGGTGTCTGAGGTGAGGAGGCGCTGACGGGAGCCAAACAGGAGAGCTTCGGTCTTGTTGACGTTCAACTGCAGAAAGTTAGCTTTCATCCAGGACTTGACGTCTGACAGACATTCTGTCAGGACAGCAGTAGTCCTGGAATTGACAGTGGAAGCAGAGAGATGGGGGTGGGGGAGTACACCACCTATACGTGGAAATTTCCCTGCGTCTGGAATAGAATGTGCACTCTTGCACTCTCTCCACGGAGGGATGCACCCTAGTTACCTGATTCTAACTCAGGCGAGTATGAGTTGCAGAGCTGAGGCTTGGCAACCCTAGTGTGTGCATTGGTGGTACTGCTGGAATCTTTTAGTACATTTACATATTCCTTAATGGAGAGGAAATGGTTGGGAAGATGTAGAAAGAAAAATTGCCAGTGCTAAAAAAGTTAAATAGAATCAGAAAATGCAGAACTTCTGTAGCAGATTGGTAAAAAGAGATGGACAGGTTAACGTTTGGGATGGGACCTTTCCAAACTGGGTATCACGATCTTTCCTAGTTGTGAATGCCATTTTTTTGCTATACTAAAATGCAGCTTAAACAGTTTAACAGTCAAAAAGAGAAAAGGGATTCTCCACATGTCCTGGGAACAATCCCCCAGATAAAATTGGTCATTCACTTCATGGCTGTTCAAAGAGCATTACTGTGTGCAAATTGGTTGCCACATTCGGCTTCAAATGCAATCATTATACTCTTCAGTAAATCCTGTGTTAAGGCATGAAATCACATTATTTAATAGGGGCCACAGTTTATATTTAAATTTCATTTTAGTCACATTAGAGCACCAGTACTCCAATTTGGATTAAGTTGCACACTGTTTCCCGCTTAACATAATGAAAGGCAAACAAACCTGGAACTGAATTTGAAAAAGGAAGGGAGAGGGGCTCGAAGAAGAAGGTTTCTCTTAGGAAGCTGCTTCTTATTCTGATATGTTTTTTAAAAAATTGTATGTATTTTTAATTATTATGTGCTAACTGCTAAAAGTAGCAAATGAGAAATCCTATTTTAAATAAGGAAACTATTGATATTTTTAGCAATAGGAACAAGATCTATTCCCATTGTTTCTACTTCAAGTAATTTCGATTGCAAAGTGCCCTCTCCTCTGTACTCTTCCACAAAGTGCAATTGGTGCATAGCCGGCCACATACATCATTCTTCACTTAGCATCCAACGTCACAGCAGCAAAACTTATAGCAGGAAATAACAGCACGGATATATAAGGGAAACATTTAGTCTTTCAGTGCAAGGACATCATCATTGATTTTTAAAGGGGCAACGAACGTGACTGTGAAAATGTGCACACAGAGGCAAATATGGGATATTCGAGAAGATAATATGAACAGTTCAATTCAGTTTGAGTTCGATCAGTCATACACTTAACTATTAGTGAAGTCTGTTTCAAATCAGCATCAGGCCTCTTAATTGTACAAATTTTAAAAGTTAA